ACCTATTTTACAGGTTTGGCATATCCGGTTTAACCCATTTTACAGGTTTGGCATATCCGGTTTTACCTATTTTACAGGTTTGGCATATCCGGTTTTACCCATTTTACAGGTTTGGCATATCCGGTTTTACCTATTTTACAGGTTTGGCATATCCGGTTTTACCCATTTTACAGGTTTGGCATATCCGGTTTTACCTATTTTACAGGTTTGGCATATCCGGTTTTACCTATTTTACAGGTTTGGCATATCCGGTTTAACCCATTTTACAGGTTTGGCATATCCGGTTTGACCTATTTTACAGGTTTGGCATATCTGGTTTGACCTATTTTACAGGTTTGGCATATCTGGTTTGACCTTTTTTACAGGTTTGGCATATCTGGTTTGACCTTTTTTTACAGGTTTGGCATAACCGGTTTGATCTATTTTACAGGTTTGGCATATCTGGTTTGACCTATTTTACAGGTTTGGCATATCTGGTTTGACCTATTTTACAGGTTTGGCATATCTGGTTTGACCTTTTTTACAAGTTTGGCGTTTTCAATTTAACCCATTTTACAGATTGATTTTCCATATGAAATGTACTATCCATATGTGTATTGTCAAACACATCATTTGATTGAGAAAAAAAGTAAATGTGTGCATCTGTTCACAGGGTACAGAAACTAATACTTAATGAGGTCCTGTGCAAAATGTTATAAAGAAAATCAACTTTTTTGATATAATACTTCCTTTCTGTAATGTTCCGGCACCTACTGTAGTAAGCAAGTCTACAAGATAGATTAAGCCAGGCCTTTAATATCAAATATTGTTATGTTACTGTATATATGTTTACTTGATGTTTGGGAGTTTATGAGTGTATACTTGGATGCAACACATATAATAAAATATATAAACCATAATTCGGGTCTTGTTTAGTTTGTGTGCTGAATTAAGCCATCCAAATAATTGAGCCGTGTCTTGACAAAACCAACATAATGGGTTTGCGACCAGCATAGATCCAGACCAATCCATGCTGTTCGCTATCAGTTTCTCTACTTGTAATAGAGTTGATAAGCGAACAGCATGGATCCTGATCAGACTGCGCGGATGCGCAGGCTGGTCTGGATCCATGCTGGTCACAAAACCATTATGTTGGTTTTGTCACGACGTGGCTCAAATAACTTTAAACCCTTCTTTCCCAAGTATAATTATCTCTGTATATGATTATAAAGGGATGTTGGTTATGTAATGACACGGCTCATATATAAATGTTACACCTACTAGTAGGTAAACCACTAAAACAGAGGGTTGTGGGGGGGGTGTTGTTTTTTTCCCCCAGAAAATTGGTATATACAATGTACTAATATACCCTTTAGCTTACATTCAAGGTTCCCTTAGGTCTAAGTATTAAGGGCTATGCAAGCTAGATTTGAGTTTAATGTGTCTTAACGACCCCAGTTCAATATAGAAATAGTCAAAACAAAGAATTCATGCATTAATTTAAGAATGATTATTTAAAAAAAACAAAAAAACAAAACATATTCATTGAAAAAAAAATATTGTAATTTAAGATAAAAAGCTTATTGGTACATGCAAAAAAAATTGACTTTGGAGGTAGGCCTGGGATATGGGTCTTAAAAATGTCACAATAATTATGTATTATTGATTTTTTTGTTGCTACATGTATTTTGATAATAAACTTATACAATATTGAAGAAAAACAGCATGTCCAAACAATTAACAGAATGATGCATGCAAATTAGAAGTTAGCGAGACATTCCCTTCAGAATTAGCAGACATTCTGTTTTTGACATCAAGTATGTATTATCATGCGTATTAATACATAATACTAGTTACTCAACTCATGACTGTACATTATATTAGTCTGCTAAACTTCCGGCAACATTTATGATCATTTCAAAGACAAATCTTATCTTTACCTTTTTTTCTTACTAAATTTTCTTATTCTTAGTATAATACTAAATATATATGTTTGCAATATGGTTCATGTAACTTTGAGTGAAAAGGCAATATTTATTTTTCATTTTTTTTACTTTTAATTGATATCTATTTTTCACACATGGATTATCAATAACCTACATGAAATTTATCCTGAAAGTTGATATTTAATCAGGCCTTGACACTAACTTTTTTAGCAGGTGGTAAGCCGGACAACTAGATTTGAAATTTAAGTGGTCCTTCCGTAAGTCAGCTGGTCAATTATTCTAATTTTATTGTTTATGAATTTTTTTACTCTTTTTTAATAGAAAGAACTGCAGATTTAGAAAAAATATGCTTAAAATTGGCAAAATAACCAACTAAAGAAACAAGAATTTGTAACAGAGTTACCAAAGTCCCCTGCCTCAGGGAAGCATAAAATTATGCTATTTCAAAAGATTGAGGTACTAGCTGTATGGATCTCAGGACTTTCAGTTCAAAATTATGATTAATGCTAGATCTGCAAATGCAACAATAAATTTATTACAGAAATAAAATGAAACACGGAATTTAAAACTCTATCATGTTAAGCTTTGACCTCTAAGTGTGACCTAGACCTTGGAGGTAGGGGTGCAGGTGTTGTGCATGACATATCGTCTTATTATTTTAACTATTTGTGCCAAATATTTTCTAAATCCACTATGAAGACGTTATAGATCGGACACAAAATATACCATATATCAGACTATGTTACTCTTTGACCTCTAAGTGTTACTTTGGAGGTAGGGACCCATGTTTTGCGCCTGACATATTGTCTTATTATTGTGATTATTTGTGCAGAGTATTTTTAAAATCCCTTGATCTATAAAAAAGTTATGGACTGGACACAAAATATACCTATAACAGACTATGTAAATCTTTGACCTCTAAGTGAGACCTTGACCTTGGAGGTAAGGACACAGGTGTTACGCATGACATATCAGCTTATCATTGTGTCTATCTGTGCCAAGTATTTTCAAAATCCCTTGATCTATGAAGAAGTTGTAGACAGGACACAAAATATACCATTTAACAGACTCTGTTAACCTTTGACCTCTAAGTGTGACCTTGACCTTGGAGGTAGGGGTGCAGGTGTTGTACTTGACATAACGTCTTATTATTGTGACTATTTGGGCCTAATTATTTCAAAATCCAGTGAAGAAGTTCTAGATCAGACACAAAATATACCCTAAAACAGACTATGTTAATTTTTTACCTCTAAGTGTGCTTGGAGGTAGGGATGCAGGTGTTGCGCATGACACATCATCTGATTATAGTGACTATTTGAGGCAAGTATTTACAAAATCCTTTGATTTATGAAAAAGTTATGGACCAGACACAAAATATACCCTATAACAGACTATGTTAATCTTTGACCTCCAAGTGTGACCATGACCTTGGAGGTAGGTGACTGGTTGTTGGGCATGACACATCGTCTCATTATTGTGAACAATTGTAACAAACATTTGTGCCAAGTTATTTCAGATTCCTTTGATAAATGACAAAGTTATGGACCTGACACAAAAGTGTGATGGACAGACAGATGGACATCCGCCAGAAATGGAGTAAGGGGCCATTTCTATTGTTATTTTTTTATTGCTTAATAGAGGGCCAATGGCCTCTTATTCTATTGTTACGGAACAAAATCTATTGTTCTCTTTTGTCCTGTTTACAGTTAGATGGCCCCCTATCCTTATTCGGTAGTGCAGATAGACGGACGGACGGACGGACAGACGGACGGAGCCTATTTCTATATCCCCCTTTTTTCTTTGAAAAGGCGGGGGACAATAAGATATTTATAGATGTATATTTACATCTTATCAGAAATTAAGGAGTGCAAGTCAGTAGTTATTCTATTGTGAAGTTTTTTGTTGTTTTTATTTATCTCATTAAAAATATATATTTATGTAAAACTTTTTCACTCAACTCAAGTTAGGGAATAGTTAGAAACCATTTGTGTCTGCCTTATTTTCTTACTGTTATTCAAATATTCATTACGTTGCAAGTCTTATTATAATTATCTTTTATAGATTAACATTTGATAAAACTATTTAATCATCTTATTATTGTCTCTGAAAACAATGAAATATCAGAAGGATAAAATAATAATACCAACGTTATATGCATGTTTAACTTTAGTAGTTTTTTGGTTTTTGTTTTTTTTTATATAAATGTAAATAGAAGTGGCAGAAATGAAAAATTTATTCTTGCATGTTTCACTTTGTGTTACTAATTATCTTGTAAGCTAAACTGACTGTAATGAACTTGAATGTCTACAATTTTAGTTTTCTTGTTTTTAAATATAATCACGCTGAAAACTTAGTCACTCTAATCTTAATCTTTTTATTAGGCCTACATAGCAGTGATTTTTTAATTTTTTTATTACTGTGACATTTGGTTTTTTTGGCCAATTCTGGGGAATACATCAGAGACATAGATATCTACATCTCTGATTATATATACAATACTAATTAACCATGAATTTAATTGCCTCATAAGTTATATGAACTTCACAATGAGTAGCTATTTTTTCAAATGATTTATTCTTATCACATAATCTGAGGCATTTGATTGTGGTAATAGTAAAATATATCTTAGAGGAAAGGTAATAATTCAGTAACTTCTAAATTTGTGGGTTTTTTCCTTTGTAAACCCAATAATTATTAATAAACTTTTACCCTTGTAGCTTCAAGTGCATATTGCATTCTGACAGTTAAAAATGTAAGTTTGTTGGTACATGTACATGCATAAATTTACTGCTGTGAAATGTGTTAAACCGAATATGCCGAATTAATTACTAAATTAGTCTGTGATTTATATCAAATACTTTCTTTCAGCAATATAAACAATTAAGTATCAGCCAAACAACCCGCAGTTCTAGTATGGGATTATTTATCAGAGTAGATTTGTACACCGACACAAACAATTAATTAATGATAAATTTATAAAACACACGAATATGCATTTGCTTGCAAACTTGAAAATTTACATGTTATGCTTACTTTTATAAAAGATAACAATAATATCGTTAAACAAGCACTAACCTTTCTTGTCTCTTCATGTTTTGGTTAAAACTACCCACTTTTTCAGCCTCTGCAACTCAATATTATTGATCGTGCGATTCCGTGCGCTAATCGATTTCCGTATGTTTACGGAACCGTCACGCTTGGGTAATGCGCACGTCACCGATGTTATTTCCCTGATCAATTAATTCATTCTTTATCTATTTCTTATGAGGAGTTATATAACAGTTATTAGATATTATTTGTTATTAGAATATTTTTAACAACTAGAACTACTACTGTATAGTAAAGATTCTTTAATGAAAATTCTTTAAAAAATGTCTAAATTTGGTAGGCCTATACTATATTTTTAAATGATTTCAATGGATCTAGAAATGTCCCTATACATAGGCAAACTAAACAAAATCATAGGCAAATTTAAGCCTGAGCATGTTGTTGGAAGGGCAATGGTCCAGTCAACATTTGTGCCAAGTTTGATTAGTGTTGAAGCAGTTTTTATAGTATTATAGCAATTTGAACTTGTAACGGGAGACATTTCAATGAAAACAGCCATTTTTCACAAAATGCTCATGAAGTAATGGGTTAATGCATTCTTTATTTATTTCTTATGAGGAGTTATATATAACAGTTACTATATATTAGTATATTTTTAACAACTAGAACTACTATAGTAAAAATTCTTTATTGAAAATTCAACAAAAAATGTCCAAATTTGGTATACTATATTTTAAAATGACTTCAATGGATCTAGCATATGTCCCTATACACATCCAAAAGGCGAAAATGTAAAAAAAAACTGATTATTGTAATTCCACCATAGCTGGATCTTTTAATCACTTTAACCTAAGCTGACTATTTAAAGTGGATACTGCTATGAGGCACTGCAGGTTTAAATATTCAAGACAAATCAGGTCAGATGAAAGGTCTATATGTTCATCCTAGATATATGCAGAGTCAAAAATTAATTTCTTCTTTAGTTCAACATATGCTATGCGCCATATCATTTAGATGCTTTTCATTTTTGGGTTTTTCATAATAATATAATGTTAATATTAATTCATATAAGGATGTTTCTGTAATCAAATTTTCGTTTCAAAATGTAGAATTCTGTTCAAGCCTTTGTAAGGGGGTCAGCAGCTTGAAACTTTCACTATTGTCCATGAAGAGGCTCTTGTGCATTTTTGGGCATTCTTTAGGTATTCTGTTTTCTCTACTTTATGTATGATTTGATTCTTTAGACGGGTTACACAGACAGAAAAAGCTCCATATATAATTTCAATACATAATAAATAAACAAGCTAAGGTTCATGCTCTCATCTGGCTTCCTCACATTAGAGACACCCTTAATATGGTTTCATATCACTTCAATGTCATTAAAAAATATCCTAACTGATGCTCTACTACCCCTCTCCTTGTAGCAAAGAGTTTTGATCTCACTTAAATGAGATTGATTTAACTTGCTCATCAAAGCTATTAGCTTGCAGGGCATGTGTTGAAAAAAAAAAAATGTTTTTCTTGTTGAACATTTGTTATCCGACACTGTACTGGAAACCTTTGGGTTCTACATGTAGGAAACCTCAGGTCCCCTTTCAAGGCAAATGGTAGGCACCCGAATACGCTTCCCTTCTTTCTTTCATAAAATAGCTTAATAGTTTCCCCATAAGAATAATTTCTCTTGCAATCACAGTAAAAATCTAAGGTCCATTCATTGTCTTGCACTGCCTGAAAGGTTCCTATAATGCTACATCAGAAGTTGTGAGACCTATTTCTAATATTCTTCTGCACTTTGATACAACATGAACAAAGCTTATCCATGGGTTAATAACATTGCAACCTTTGATTCAACATGAACAAAGCTTTTCCATGGGGAAATAACATTACATTTTACTTAATGTAAAACTACTGAAAATTGAAACACTTTCATCAGTCATCAACTTGTTTCGACATCTACGTAAAATTAAGACATTGTAAAATAAGCATTTATAACCTTTATAAATCAGCAGTCTGGTAACTATTAATATTAGTGCCCCCTCAGGCAGTCCCTTTGTTTTTCTGCTGTACGTCTGACATCATCATGAAAACTGTATTATTTTAAGGCCCACTTAAAAGAAGGATATATTACGTGTTTGTTTTTTTTCATTCTTTTTTTATTTGGTTGGGTTTTATGAAGCACCAACACAGTATAGGTCATGTGGCAACTTTTCAGCTCAGCTTTACTGGTGGAGGAAGTCCTCCGGTGCCCTTCCATGCATTAATTCAGGTATGAATGGTCATCTGAGTAGAACCACCAATATTCCGTAAGCTAGCTGGATAGCTTCCTCACATGAAAGAATCCAAAATCCCTGTTGGAATTCAAACCCACAGCTGTGAGGGGGAAAGGGTTTATAGTCAATGACCTTAACCACTAGACTATTGATGCCCCAAATATATTTTTATGTAAGGCATAATATCTTAAGTCTCCTGTAAATTATAGAAAACATTTCTCATAAAATTGAATGCTATTCTCTTATTGTTTTTATGAACTATAGGTCACTGGGACTTTACTTAACATGAGGGCCATGATGGCCCAGGATCGCTCACCTGACCCATCAACTGCATCCAAGCAATGTCTTAGACAAGCATCCTGGCCAAGTTTGATGACAACTGAGTCAAACATGTGACCTCTAGTGTGTTAAAAAGGTTTTTCCATATTTGGTTAATGTGACCAAATTTTTGACCGGAGACGACCCATTTCCAAACTTGACCTAGAAATCATCAAAACAACCTTCCTGGCAAATTTCCAGAATATTCTGATCAAAACTTAAGCCACTTGTTTAAATAGATTTTTTTATTTTTAGCTCCTGTGACCTAGTTTTTAAACGGACATGACCCATCTTCGAACTTGACCTAGAAATCATCAAAACAACCTTCCTGACAAATTTCCAGAATATTTGGTTCAAAACTGCAGCCACTAGAGTGTTTACAAGCTTTTTCTATTTTTAGCTCCTGTGGCCTAGTTTTTGACCGGAGATGACCCATCTTCGAACTTGACCTAGAAATCATCAAAACAACCTTCCTGACAAATTTCCAGAATATTTGAATCAAAACTGCAGCCACTAGAGTGTTAACAAGCTTTTTCTATTTTTAGCTCCTGTGACCTAGTTTTTGACCGGAGATGACCCATCTTCGAACTTGACCTAGAAATCATCAAAACAACCTTCCTGACAAATTTCCAGAATATTTGAATCAAAACTGCAGCCACTAGAGTGTTAACAAGCTTTTTCTATTTTTAGCTCCTGTGACCTAGTTTTTGACCGGAGATAACCCATCTTCGAACTTGACCTAGAAATCATCAAAACAACCTTCCTGACAAATTTCCAGAATATTTGGATGAAAACTGCAGCCACTAGAGTGTTAACAAGCTTTTTCTATTTTTAGCTCCTGTGACCTAGTTTTTGACCAGAGATAACCCATCTTCAAACTCGATCTGTATTTCATTGAGACAAACATTCTGACAAAGTTTGATGATGATCCAATCAAAACTGTGACTGCTAGACTGTTAACAACCCAATTGTTGACGACAACGGACGCCGGACATAGCCCCATCACTATACCTCACCTTGACCACTTCGTGGTCAGGTGAGCTAAAAACAAGCACAAGCAATATATCTTAAATGCATTTATTAAAAAATAATCACTAATAATTCATTAAGTATACAAAACAAATTACATGTATTTAAATCAATATGAATCATAAATATATATATAGTTACATACATTTATAATAAATAACAACAGAAATGTGAAAAATCTTGCAACCATGAAGTTAAAGTAATAGGCCCCTAATTGAAATTTTTGTATATTTTTACAAAGGCAAAGACTAGCAGTAAGAATTTCTAGAGATAAGAAAAACTTTTCTAAAATTTTGCATGATTATTCTCTTTATGCTGGGGCCTTTTGTGTGAAACATTTCAGTAATTATGCAATTATAGTGCTTCATAACTTAATCCCTTGATCAAACAGCACACACAAAAATTCAGTAAAACTGATGGACGCTCCTCAATGTTTGTTTGTTTTGGGTTTTACGTCACATCGGCAAAATATAGGTCATATCACAACGTTCAAGCTTTACTGGTGGAGGAAGACCTCAGGTGCCCTTCCGTGCATTACTTCAGGCATGAATGGGCACCTGAGTAGAACAATCTCATTAAAATCATATCCTAACTGTCGCTTCACTACCCTACGCTCGTAGCGAAGAGTAACGGAGCGAAAACGATGATCTGATTTTAATGAGATTGCTGAGTAGAACCACCAGCGTTCTGTAACTCCTCAATGTAGCTTTCACAAAGTTTACCTGATGGCCTATGAGGAAAATCTACCTGTAGCCACAGCAGTCTTTACCTTGACTTAATGAACCTGAACCTTTTTCTGAAGTTAGTAGGATCTTAAAACTGAACATAGGTAAAAAATATAAGTGAATTTCCACTGATCAAGATGTGTGCTTTAACTAGATATGTGAAGGAGAAAGTAGGTCAATCACAGGGTCAGTTTTCAACTTTTTAAACATTTATATAAAATTCAAAGCTTTTTTTAAGAAAATCAAAATATGATTCTACCCTCCTGGCTTTCCTCTAAATTTTTACTTATTTTTGTTTGGATTTTTATGCAGTGTTCTATTGTGGCTTCTGGTGTGCCCAAAATATGCAATGTGTTTTAAGAAAATGTAACTAAACGGACTCCAAACAGTTTTCACAAAATCTTACCACCAAACGAACCCTTATTGAAATATTTATTGAGATTGGGCTCAAAATAAAGGAATTGCCGGTCAAATTCCATCTGAGCTTCATATGTGCTGAGGATATCCATAGGGGCATGATATAAGAATCAACAACATAAGAACAGATCACTTTCACATATATTTTTTACTGATGCTCAATTTTGAGATCCATATGGATTTTCCACCCTGTGTTACTGGTATTGCATCAAAATTTCCTGATTAGATTATATTTATATAATAATAAGTTTTTAAAAACAGCAAACAGTAAAAGCCCAAAGAACTTACTACATGTATATGTAAATGTTCATGATTATCTTTTTACTCTCTTGGTAGGGTTGTAAAATTTTGGTGATAGAAAAGTAAATTTTATGACATGAAAGCATTCCTTTTATTGCTGTGCATATATTGTGTAATAATGCACTTGAATGTCCTACCTGTTTGACAGGAGAATAGTATAAAGTGTGTTTGAATGCCAGTTCATGCATGTGATTGGTTACAAGTTTAAAAAAACTAACCAACTAACATATGACTAAAACAGTCTTGTAAAAACACAGCCTTCACACATGTGTGATATATTAAAAAAAAATTAGTATCTAAAGTTGATACTTATATTAAATAAATATTTCTGATTATACAACAAATGTAGTACATGTATTAAAGATATATTTTGCTCACATTTCATCATATATTTTACCTGTACAAGTGGAAAGTATTAAAGGAGAATGAGTATCAGCACTGGTATGCTTAATTAAAAAATTCTCACAAAACAAATGAGCCACGTCACAATAAAACCAACATAGTGCATTTGCGACCAGCATAGATCCAGACCAGCCTGCGCATCTGTGCTTACAAACCCTATAACAAGTAGAGAAACTGACAGCAAACATCATGGATCCTGATCATACTGCGCCGATGCACAGGCTGGTCTGGATCCATGCTGGTCTCAAACCCATTATGTTGGTTTTTTCATGTCGCGGCTCATTAATGTTAAAACAATTCATTTGTCTTTATTTGTTTTTTGTTTTTTTAAAGAACTGTGGGAGGGGAGGAAAGCTGCCAGTGTAATGCTTTAGAACTTGTCTCACAACGACTTCTATTGCATTTTTGCAACATCAACATAGTTGTATGCATACCATGAAATAGGCTGGTTTTACCCGTAACCTGATAAATTTCTTAAATGGATTTGTCCAGCTTCTATTTTTTAATACTGATCCTTGATCTTTATCAATTTTAGAGATACCAAGATGAAAAATTTAATTTTAGTCAGTCAATAGAGTTCAGTCTTATAACAGTACATAGATGTCCAGGCTCACCTGGCTCTACATGTGACATAGGTTATACACTTATCACTTTCTGTTCAATAATAGGATTGTAAAGCAGAAAACCAATAAATTTTGCCAACAATATCTTAAGACAAGAGCCATCTGTAAGACATCATGCTCGACTATTCTCAGTGCTTGATAATGAAACAACAGCCTCAATAATGTAGAATTTTCTTAATTCACAAAGGGCCATAATTCTGTTAAAATCAATGTTAGAGTTATGGGCCTTGGATAGTGACCTCCTATTATGCTCTCAAATAAATGTGTCAAGTTTCAGCCTTTTCCTTTCAGCAGTTTTGGAGATACCAACTTGCACACAAAAACATAGCAGAAGTGTGACTGGGTACAAAAGCTTTCACTTTTCTTTGAACAGTCGAGCTAAAAGTACATGTACAAAATGGCATATGAAATAACTTTACAAGCAAAATATTAATAAGTATAAAAAATCTGTGAAAATATTTTCACAGATTATTCTGCACAAAAGACCACCACTAAGAAAAGAGTGCTTTTTTTTTTAAGTTATACAATATACTTTCATATAACGACTGATAGACCAACATGTGCAAAGCAATATCATCATCATAACCTGCTTGGGGGCATGATTACGTGAGTAAATGGTTAAACCTAACTGCTAGCATTAGACACAATAAAATTACATAATTATATCTGCTACCTCTAAAAATAAACAGTATATGTTCCACAACAATAAACAAAATAATAAGAAAGTCATAATAATGTAATTAAAAAGAAAAAATTAACATGTCACACTGTCAACGCATGGATCTTAGTTTCATATTAAATTTTATGACAACTTTTAATGCCTTACAAAATATACAACTTTAAACAATAAAGTTTCAGTGTTTTGGCCACTATAAATCCATGTAACTATGTGATATTTCTGGCATTTGTTTCATTAACCAACACAATAACAAAATAGATATCGTCATAATACAGGATGTTTGTAACATCGCTTTTTTATTAAATAATCATGACGTTTATATAGTTTTACAAATGTATATACACGGCTTTTGTCAATTTATGAGGAAATTTCATTTTATATCTGTGACCAAGGAAGTTTGCTGTATTTTTAATTTGTTATAAAGACTCTTCAAAGGTTATATGACTGTATATAAAAGTTGTTTGCAATATAACCCTTGTCTAGGGGTTTGGGTTAAATATGCAAACACATTATGTAGAACCATCTAACCAGTCAAAAATCTTTATAACTATAATATAAAAGTTTCTATGCTAGGGCATAATAAACAAATAAATAAATTAATGTTACAAACTCTATTTCTGATATACTTAAATACATACTGCATACATGTACATAATATAAAGACAGTTTGACTGTTTGCCTTACGAAAATATTATTTTCATAACATGACATTACATGACAGTGGATTGGGTTACAATGGACACAATTTTCATATGGATTTCAAATACTGATAAAAACAATAGAAATGTATTATTTAGATATATCATTTAGATATTCTTTTAGAATATTGCTTCAAAAAATGTTGGTAAGTAATTTAGTATGAACATTTATATGAATAAACAATAAATGAGCCGCGTCACGACAAACCAACATAATGGGTTTGCGACCGACCAGCATGGATCAAGACCAGCCTGCGCATCCGCGCAGACTGATCAGGATCAATGCTGTTCGCTATAAGTTTCTCTACTTGTAATAGAGTTGATAAGCGAACAGCATGGATCCTGATCAGACTGTGCGGATGCGCAGGCTGGTCTGGATCCATGCTGGTCGCAAACCCATTATGTTGGTTTTGTCGTGACTTGGCTCAAATTAAAAGATTTAGAGGAGGGGACAACACATCAAACACCAGGTCGTTTATATATTTTATATAACTACTGGTTTCGGGTATTCACTTTAATTTTCTAATGTCATGTAAAAAAAAAACAAATCTCTTATTTGTTGTTATATAATACAGAATTTAATTAACCTCATTCTAGAAAGTGTAATAAAGTTCAATTTAAAACAATTTTTCTTGAACTTGTTTGATAAAATTTGATATTATACGATATAACATTGTATGGCATCCCACAAGAGATCCTACATATATATATTTCACAGGTAAGAGAAATATGAGCAAAATATATCACAAAAAGAAAGGAATAAGGTATTACATCCATTAACAGCCTGTGTAAATTAAGTGAAACCTTATATATATCTACTTCTTATTTGAAAAAGACTTTTCAATTGATGAAGATTGATGAAGATTGATTTTTTTGCTCTTGATCATTTTGACGCTTATTGACCTTTCCAAGACATTGACAGTCATAAATGAGCATTTACGTAACACAGACTGATGCCACGGATGCCCCTTTTGTAACAATACAAAAATTATGGTCATACTGACAGGTAATGTAGAATGATCTATTATTAGCCTCAGTGGCCTTAACCTTGATCAAAAAATGATCTTTGACCCTTACCATGAATAGTGGTTAATGAAGAGATCAAAAGATGACAAAAAACTCTGAGAAATTGATCAATAAATGAAAGTGTCTAGTGAAGTGGTAAAATATTGTTATATAGAAATTGATCAATAAATGAAAGTGTAAAGACAGGTGGCAAAATTTTGTTACAGACAATCAAGTATGTATATATTCTTAACCGAAAAGTCTTGGAAAGCATAAAGTTTGTTGCATTTTCAAGGGCATACAATGGATGTATATAACCTTATGAAAGCATGGGGAAGAAAAATAAAATTCTGTTAAAGAACATGTTGTTCAAGGTTGAGGGTCATCTGTCTCTTCTATCTGACTGAAAGCTTCATAAATGTTTGCTGCTAGAGTTTTTGTTTGTTCTAGTAATAATAATTCCTGAAAATATACATAAAACAAATGGATTTTCATTGTTAGTTTTTAAATGAGTAAGATCATTATTACATCCTTTACAGAAATCTGAATATTAACATAATAAATTTGGTGGTTTGCTTGGCTTACACAATCTATAGTTGCTTACACAGAATAGTAAGATATATGAGCCGTGTCATGACAAAACCAACATAATGCGTTTGCGACCAGCATGGATCCAGACCAGCCTGCGCATCCGCGCACTCTGATCAGGATCCATGCTGTTCGCTTACAAACCCTATTACAAGTAGAGAAACTGATAGCAAACAGCATGGATCCTGATCAGACTGCGCGAATGCGCAGGCTGGTCTGGATCCATGCTGGTCGCAAACCCACTATGTTGGTTTTGTCATGACACGGCTCAATTATACATTACAAAACTTGTAAGAAATCATCATGTTTAATTTGTCCAATGAGCGAAATACTATCTACCACTAAAAAGGCACATTGTACCTCAAGAATCTATAAAATTTTTATTCTTTAGAAAGGTAAAGTATTTGTTTAATAATGCTTTATTAATGTATTTAGAGGAATGTTAGATGTTTAACAACTGAAGAAAGTAGCGCTGAACATGCTGTAATGTGTCATGAAAGGTAGAAAATTGTAAACAAAGTAGTACTCTGACTTCCATACAAAATACTTAATCACTATAATTATACCAGTTGCCAAAGAACAAAAGAGGCAAAAGAAAGTACACCTAAATGGCACATGCGTAACGTTTTGGAAACAATTACAAGATATCGAAAATAAAAAGTTTTTGAGAAACAAAAATAAAAGCATTTTGGGGCCTAAATGAGCCTTCAAATTTAGATTTAGAATATGTTACCTGAACAAGAGGATTTGGTGCATCACTCCCTAACTTGTACAATAGACCACTTAAAAAGGGTATCAATTTGGCTAAAGGGACAGATACATCATGTAATCTGAAATAAAAGAAAGAAACAACACTTATATTGATAACCTGAATGTGCAGAATAAAGTTTTGATATAGACATGTACATTTACGAAGAACTTACTAAACATTGAAGTAATCAAAAAATTTGAACACTTAATAATCCTTAGCATATTCATCTCCTTTTTATGGGTTTAAAATCAAGTCAACACCGATATGGTTATATGGTATTTCCTTCTTAACTTGTGGAGGATGACCTCAGGTGACACACCATGAAAAAGCGACACCCAGTAGAACCACCTACCCTATGAAAGCTAGCTGGATAGCGTCCTCACAAGAAAGAATCCCAATTTCATGGCAGGAATATTTTGGAATTAGCAACCTTAACCACTTGGTCACAGAGAAAGGATAGATTTTCATACTAGCAGCCTAATACGTCAAGTGGTACATGTGTCTATTCCATTTAAACCACAGGCACACCAATGGAGTATATAAAGATTGATTCGTTATTTTTTATTATTTTGGTAAGGATATATGATGCGCTGACACAGTATAGGTCTTTTGGTGACTTTCCAGCTTTACTGGTGGAGGAAGACCTTAGGTGCCTTTCCATTCATTATTTCATGCACGATCGGGTATCTGAGTAGACCCACCTACTTTCAGTAAACCAGCTTGAAAGTTTCCTCACACGAAAGAATGGTATTCCAACCTACAGTGGTGAGGGGAAGTGTCTTGAAGTCAACGACCATTACCACTCAGCCGCTGATGCTCTTTTTAATCTTAATATCATTCTGAGTTACATTATTCATAAAATCTAATATGACACTGATAAAAGTTCTAGAATTACTGTATGACTGAAGTTTCTGTCTTCTGCAATGGTTGATAGAACTCTGCTAGATAATCAACTAATTTTGCAAATCCTCGGTCCAACGCAGTACTAAACACTGTGTGAAAATCATGACTGAAACAAACAAAAAATGTTTACAATATATAAATTACATGGCACATTTTTTTTATTATAAAGTTATAGAATGGCCATAGCAACTGGTATATATGATATCATATTTAAAGGTATCTGCTTGGTTTGCACAAAAAAGCTCCCTGGAGTCCTTCAAAAGCTATGCTGTGGAAACCAATTGTCTATGAAAAGATGGACGGACATGCAATCGAAATGGGATAAGGGGCTAATAAAACCAACATAATGGGTTTGTGACCAGCATGGATCCAGACCAGCCTGCTCATCCGCGCAGTCTGATCAGGATCCATGCTGTTCGCTTACAAACACTATTACAAGTAGAGAAACTGATAGCGAACAGCATGGATCCTGATCAGACTGCGCGGATGCGCAGGCTGGTCTGGATCCATGCTGGTCGCAAACGCACTATGTTGGTTTTGTCATGGCGCGGCTCAAATGATATATACTTTTCAATGAAAAACTTCATTGATTTGCATTATAAATCTCAATAATCCATATTGTTCTTTACCACATCTCATAATTTATATCCTCTATCTACATACTAAGTGTTTTTAATGTTTAAATAAGGTCATTAAATGCATATAAATTAATTAATTTTTAAAAACAACAAACAACATAATATTACCTATATAGAATATCTTGTGTTTCTTTTAATAGCTGACAATATAGGTCATCTGAGGGCTCTTTGTCCTTAAAATAATATACAATACAAAATATGATAATCGTTATAATAATTACCTATCAAACAGTATTATTCTTAAAAGTTACATCAAAACATATGGAAGCTTCCTGGACATTTTTCTTAAAAAATATTGATACTGACTGTCAATGTTGTCAGTTTGGATTCAAAGTAACACAAACAAGAAGGCCATAGACCTGAGTGACTGATGCAAAACAATCTGAATAGTTAATTGTATACAGTGATGAAAGTAAAACATGTTTTTATGAAGGTATTTCTAATTCTACTATTCTAAAAAGAACAACAGTTGAACCTAACAATAAAAGGAAGTTTATTGAACTATATTAATGGGAGAAGTAATAAACATGATGTTGTTTGATCTACATCATATCCGATATCATGCCGTAAATACATGTAATCAGGCACTCCAGATCTTAGTCATTATTCAATCCTATATTTTCTATAGTGGCAACCATGTTAGAATTACTAATACTGATGTATTCTGGTAAATGTAGCATAACTGATGTATTCTGGTAAATTTAGCATAACTGATGTATTCTGGTAAATGTAGCATAACTGATGCATTCTGGTAAATTTAGCATAACTGATGTATTCTGGTAAATTTAGCATAACTGATATATTCTGGTAAATTTAGCATAACTGATGCATTTTCGTAAATTTAGCATAACTGATGCATTCTGGTAAATTGAGTATAACTGATGAATTCTGGTAAATTTAGCATAAATTATGTATTTTGGTAAATTTAGCATAAATTATGCATTCTGGTAAACTTTGCATAAATCCCTGTACAATACACAACTGTATATTAATATACATATATGTTCCTCAACATTTATTTGTCTGTTGATGGTGTATCTATTTTTTACACCAATTTTAAACACATTTTTTTGTCCTGATTTGACAGTTAGTCCACCTAATCTTTCCTGGATAACTCACCAGTAATTACCAAATTCTCAAAAATAGACCGACTACTAATCCCACACGATTTCTGAATCAATCATAACACTATATAAAACACTTCTACTGTCCAGTACGAAATACTAATGGAATGTTGGAAACGTAAACTAATTTTTTAATAGAATCAGAAAAACTCAAAACCTTGTTAAATATAAAACTTAATTCCCTTGCAATCAAAAATGCTTTCAATGTTGTAAAGTATAAACTGGAAAAAAATCAAACTCACCTCATCAGACGTTTTCCAACAGACTAAAAGTTCACTTAACGGCAACGTTGAAATTTCTTTAATACTAACTTCTTGACCATTTTCAACCCTCTCTCGTATATGCTTAATAATTGCTTCTAAGTTATGCAATGATAACTTTTCTTTTAATGTTAAACTGAAATATGAACAACAAGCAAATTTGTTTCATTAAAATACCCTGTCGAATTATTCAAATCATTTCATTGAAGCTTCTGGGAATAATGTTCCTATAGTCTAAAGAACATAGATATTATGATACAAAAATGGGTCAAAAACAGAAAAGGCCGGGTTGCATATGTGTACAAAATATCATGAGGCTGTGATGTTACTTAAATTTTCTACCACTGTCTGACCATTGATGTTGAAAATTTAACATAGTTGGTAAACCGGAAAAGAATGAGCATCAGACCTGAAATGGAATCCCACAATATGGGACCACAGTCATGTCAATGCTGTGAACCACATATCAAGAGGCTGTGGTAAGAAGTTGTTGAGAAAACTGTTAAGAAAATTTCCTACTATCTATTGATCATTAATTATGTCAAAATTTAACTAAATCGGCAAACAGGAAGTGGATGAGAGACAGACCTGAAATCGAATCCCACAGTATGGGACCATGTGTTGATGCTGTATACAAAATATCAAAAGGCTGTGATAAGTAGTTGCCAAGAAAACTGTTACGAAAATTTCCTGCTATTGACCATTAATGTTGAAAATTTAACTAGGTCAGCAAACAGGAAGTAGATGAGCGACAGACCTGAAATCGAATCCCACAGTATGGGACCATGTTTTGATGCTGTATACTAAATATTAAAAGGCTGTGATAAGTAGTTACTGAGAAAACTGTTACGAAAGTTTTGCCCCGCCCGCCCGCCGCCCAACATTCACCATACTATAACCTGGGTTTGCACCAGTGCAACCCGGCCAAAAACTGTTGATCTTTGTTCATAGAGATTATGCATATATATCTATATATGGAAAAGAATACAACTTCCGCACTAAAATTAACCATATCTTGCACGAAGATCTATGTATGAACATAGTAACATGATAAAAAAATAAAATTGCTTATAGCTGATGAAAGTAATAAAACTTATTTAACAACACAATATTATTTTATACTATAATGCTCAACAAAATCATCGGATTGTTTTTTCACATATCTCACCCACCTGCTAGTTTCTTTATACACTGCTTCTTTCACTTTAGATACCAGACTAACAACCCCTGAAAAAATATCGACCATAATCAAAAATTCATGATATAAAAAAACTTATTTTAAATTACTGTCTGTGCTTGTTTGTTTTTTGGTTTGTGTTTCAAGTCCAATCAATATGTCACTTTCTGGTTTTACTGGTCACTTTCCAGTTTCACTGGTAATTTTCTGGTTTTACTGGTCACTTTCTGGTTTTATTGGTCACTCTCCAATTTCACAGGTCACTCTCCAGTTTTACTGGTCACTTCCTAGTGTTTCCGGTCACTTTTTGGTTTCAGTGGTCACTCCAGATTTACAAGTCACTCTCCAGTTTTACTGGTCACTTTCTGGTTTTACTGATCACTTACTTTTCTTATTTTACTGGTCACTTTTTTATTTTACTGGTCACTTTCTAATTTTACTGGTCACTTTCTGGTTTTACTGGTCACTCTGGTTTTACTGGTCAATTTCTGGCTTCATCTGACTCTTTTTGGTTTAACTGGTCACTTTCAAGTGTAATTATAAAGATACCACATGTGTATTATGTCAAGCAGGTAAAGACTTTATTGTCTGGATTAGTCTTTAGCTATTTCTTTCATTTAACAGTATTATTACCAGAAATTCGAACTTGTTTAAATGAACCCGAGCCTTTCTTTGCGGCAACATTATTTTGTACATTTTTTAAGTACTTAAATATTTGTCTTTGCCATTGATCATGCATCATTAATAAACAATACATTCATTTTTATTATCTTATTTCCTTTAAATTTAGGATCAATTTTACATGTTTGGGACTAATTGGAAATTAAGGGATATTGACACAAATTATTTCACATTTGGCGCTATTGACTACAGGTGATAAAAACATTTAACATGTTCCAAATCCATAACATAACGTTAATAAATCATGTCCAATTGTGGTTGCCATGGTGAACTTGCGTACATTGCAGTTTTAATATAACAAAGAAGCATTTTGGTAGCAAATACTTTTTTGGTCTAGCTTTAAAGGCCCATTAAGCCTAAAAAATGCTAATTTTTTTTTTCTTAAAGCTTCCTATTTTCTGTGTCTTTTTACAGTTTCCATAAAGGTACACAATGATCATATTGTTGAGTCATAACATGTGTCTTTTTATGTTTTTGTGATTAGTAAGATATAGTGATTTAGTATTCTGTAAGGACTTTGTTAACATTTTCCTAGCTTTAACACCAATATTTTACATACAGCTCTATTTCCTTAAAAAAGGTGACAAGGAGCTCATATGATATAAATAAATTACAACATTTTCAAACAAATATTTGCCCTTTTTACAGAAATAAAATTTCTGAGACTTGATATGCCTTTAAACGTATGTAAAGACAGCTTTAGTATAGTTTTACTGCAGAAGTATCTACTGTAATCTACTGTAATTTCCTTAAACTATACGAATACCGTTACCTTTATCAAAAAATTCCCTTATAAGAGCCAGGTACTTCTCTTGTACAGGTGTTGGTGCCACATGCATTGCTGCATTTGCACTCTGAAACCAGAGAAATAACAATGTCAACATTGACAATAAACCTGCTGAATTAATTTTTTACAACAATTTTGCTCTGACTTTAAATTTGGAAAAGTCCATTTGAAGTTTAAGGGATATAAATATCAAAACTATCAACAGAATATGACAAACAAGATCAACAAGGAAGAAGCGGCAATCCAATTTAACGCATCTCCGAACACAGGACTATCAGCGTATACTGGCCATGCTCTATACTGATTTCAGCAGGTTAATGGTTAACCAGACATAGTAAACTACTTTCTGTGTTAATTTTATATACATGTAATGACACTGTTCTGCTTTGAATTTAAAATCGTACATAGTTAATCAAAGAATTTCATTATATAAATTTGTGGTGTTGAAAATAGTTTAGTTGAAATGTATGCATTTAAAAATTTGCAGATTATAAATCATTTTAATTCATTTTCATGTAACTGACAAGTACTGGTGTTATAAGAGGAAGATATGGTCATCATCAGACTTCGTCCTGAACCCAAGATTGAGAGCAGATGCCTTGACCACCTTGTAACAGTTCCGCCCTCCTTATTATATAACCCTGCAAATAAATTCCGTATCCTGTTCAATTCAATTTTACCACTTTACATTTATTTCCAAACTGAAATATCTTACCATTCCTTGATGTTTCTTAACATTTTCCACAAACATGTAACCACCAATGATGTTTAATTGTACGCGTAGCATCAAGCACATCATTGTACAAGCATAAACAACAGTTATAACCCTTGTGAGACCTGAAATAATATGGTACTTAAAATAGAGAAATTGTACTCTAATAACTCATGTAAGAGACCTGAAATAATGGAAATAGAGAAATTGTAACCTTATAACACATTTAAGAGACCTGAAATAATACTTGAAATAGAGAAATTGTACACAAATAACGTTAGTCACCTGAAATAATACTTGTATTTAAGAAATTTTAAGTATATAAACGACACTTATAACATGTGCAAGACCTGAAAGAAAACTTCTATTAGAGAAATTTTACACATATAAAAAAACAATTATGATGTGTAAAACCTATGCAAATTAAGTTCAAATCAAGTCAACAAAAAAGCTTCTTTCATGTGAACAAACAAAAGGATGAACAATACACTATATTTGATCCTAACAATTCAAATGAGGATTAATCCGAGTTATATTAAAATCTTAGCTCATAAAAGTTCTTTTTTATGAGTAATTGCTCATCCTAAAACGGATGTATTTCCTGTAACTTATGAAACCAGTCTTACCTATCCTAATCAAACCAGCTTACATGTAGGTCACAGGAGTGGAAACAAAGATATTTTTAATGCAGGCCTTTAATGTGATAAGAAGACACGTTTGAAGAAACTAGAGCTATTACTTCAGGAGATTCATACCACAATCTGATTAAGATCAGCTCCTAAATAACGCTACACATTCGGATCTGACATTCACCCATAGGTAGTCACCTTCTTGTGGTCTTTCTCATACAACCAATCATTGGCGATCTTTCATTTTTTTAAAAAACAATGTTATTTTTAATTTTTAACACTTGGAAAATCAATACTGAGTAGGTAATTTTCACGATTTAGAGAACAAACATGGCGTTGTCCATATAGCCAACAGGTAAACTGGCAAAACAATCTTGCCCATTAAAAATTGATTATTATTTCAGATTAATTTGTTAAAAATAACATTTTTTTCTAACAAAAATAAACAATTTGTTTAACTTCCACAAATAACTGTCGTTTGATACTTCTTCTAATGCCTACATGTATCTGTAATAAGCCACCAAGTATAAAACAGATTGCTTAGGGTTTTGATGTTCTTTCTCTTTTGAATCATAGGCAAAAACACTCTCCCTGCCATCAAAATATGCTAACTCCAGAAAATATGTAACCAATGTATAACAAGCATATGGATATGACTTTTCTACTGTTATTCCTTTCCCTGTCATCACAATAAGCAAACCCCAGAAAAATGTAGCTAATTAACGAGCATGCACTATTTTTATCCATGACAGACATTACGGTAACTGGATTATGGGTAACTAATACCTGCACTCCAGTTAATGCACTGAGCATTTATGGGTTTACCATTTAACTCAGACACATTTTCAATGAAAAAGGTCCCAAAAATATGATATTGATAGAGTCTATATTTCATTGCTTTTTTATGTAATTTGTATATTTTTACGAAATAATAATGTTAACAATGTGCAACTTGGAAGTTAATTTAATTTTCAAATACTATGGAAAGGATTGTTCATTTATAGAGTTCATACATGTGAATGACCTACATATACCTAACTCTTTGCTGAACACTAAATTATGTTCATTAAAAAGTTCTTTTGATGGGGTAACAAAACATTTTCAGATATTTTTTTGAATTTTTACATTACAGATGGAAGTATTTCATTACTGCAGTTTCCTATACAGTGCTAGTTTAAATATGTACATTGTATGCATTTAAAGTTTTCTAGAATGAAGATCAAGATGCTGTTTAAAGTTACCATCCAAATGTACATGGTCAGTGAATAGGTAAAAATCCAAATAATTTGACATGTTGCCATAATTGTGTTCAATTTAATAGTTAACTATGAAAACAACGTCAATAATCCAGGTGACCAACAGAAATATCTATAAATATTGATCAGATTGTATCTGTAAAGTTCAATTCTTAAAAAGAGTCTTTTTATAACATTGATCATTTAATATTGTATCATTTTTTGATATCAATTATTGGTTAATCACCATTATAATGGTCAATCTTTTGAATTATATTTACTAATTCAAAACAACTTGACAGCGAAAAAATGAGCATAATGTTACTTTATTTTCTAAGAAGCAAATAAAGCTTAATATTGCATTTTCTTTTTTAAATTTACATTTTTTTGAATTTGTGTTTTTCAGGAATAGATTATTATCAACATACTTTTTCAGTGCTAGTAAATTTTGTTGTTGTGAAGGTGCAGAGCAGTATTTTCTGATTTTGTTTATTGTTTTCATTTGAGAATTTCATAGCTTAAGTTCTTTGCACTATTTTCTTGCACCACATGTTTACACTGTCAATATCATGTTTGAAAATTAACATTGAATATATCATAAACACAATATATTCCCCCTCATATATCTTTCCTGAGCCTATCGAGAAGTCCGGTGGCTCCCCTTCTGCCGGAAACCCAGGATCATCGACTTCCTGTAGTGTATTTCCAGAATATTTCAAAACCTGAGTATAAGATTTATTGTAACAGAAAGCATAGACCTTTCCTTGATGACTGGTTAAAATGGACTTTCCATACTTGTTAATGAAAAGGAATGGTAATATTGGTATTAATCATGGAAAAGACGTAATCTATTCTCTCAATAAAACGAACAATATATTAGCATAGACCAATTCAGATTCACAGATATCAACCCACACATGCAAAGGGGATATCAATCCCCTTATGCAAAGGGAACAAGAACAATTGGAATGCCATGACATTTAAATTTTCAACAATATATAGTGGGTTTTTTTTTCGATTCCAGCTTTTTCATATTACCAAAGATGCTTTATTGGCTAAATGTCAATCAAAAGAAAAGGTCATACATTTATATTACTAAACTAAGACTGGTGAATTTGCACGTAGGATAAAGAAAATGAGCCGTGTCACGACAAAACCAACATAATGGGTTTGCAACCAGCATGGATCCAGACCAGCCTGCGCATCCGCGCAGTCTGATCAGGATCCATGCTGTTCACTTACCAACTCTATTACAAGTAGAGAAACTGATAGCGAACAGCATGGATCCTGATCAGACTGCGCGGATGCGCAGGCTGGTCTGGATCCATGCTGGTCGCAAACCCATTATGTTGGTTTTGTTGTGACGCGGCTCAAATGATTTATTTCACTGAGAGAAACACTTTTTCCAGCAATAGAAAACTTAAAGGAACTCCATTGAGGTTCAAAAACCTAAAAACATAATATTTGAAATTCGTACAAAAATTAACAGGGGCATCTAAAAAAATAATTATATCTTAAAGATAATTATGAAATATACTATACATGTACACTGAAAATCATATTTTTGTGCTATTCTTAGCACAATTTAAGTGAAATGCATAGCAATGCTTTTTAATTGGGTTATTTTTCACAATTTGAATAAATATCCTGCCCTGGATAATGGATGATCTGAAATTTGGTACACAAATTGGCTTAGACCTACATGTATATCAAATGGCACATTAATCTTGAAAGATGATTTCCGGTCCCTTCATGCCAAAAAAATTCAGTGGAGTAACTTTAATAAAAGCTTTTTATATCATTTAATGTCCTGTATATGATTGCCAAAAGTAAGCATTAAATGGAATAAAGTATGACAAAATCAACATGTTTTTCCAAAACGCATACCAAATGAAGAAAATAAATAAAGCGAAACATGTATTGATAAACATGGCCATTTCCAGAAATTTATTACGCTTACTTTTGTTGTGTGTGATAACTAACTAAGACTAAGTACCACAGAAAAATGAGACACTGAAAATTTTCTGCAGTGAGAAGCTCATTTGGATTTTCTGAAGGGCAATTATATGTAAAAATTTACCACAAATTAATTGTAAGGTTATTAATTATATTACAGTTCCTCAACCTTTGCTGACCATTCTATACAGAATGAATACATTTGAGTTGATAAAACATAATTTTAGGGCCTGGAACAAAAAATTGCATATACTTGTAAATCAAATAATGCAAAAAAACTGACCAGAATTCTTTCTAGAAAGGTACTAGTGAAAGTTTTTTCTGAAAAACTCAATGCTGTTTCAACCCTCTCAACATTCTGGCTTCTTCTGAGGAAATTTATGCATAAATTTTTGCATCACATAAATTTTCACTAGCCCCCATTTTGAATGATATTTCTCTATTAATGGCCTACAATATTATAAATATTATTATAATTATACTTACTTAAAATTTTCAGGTCCTCCCATAGCTGTACTTTATCTGCAGGACTGAAAGAAATCCATTTATATTTAATGAGAAAAGTTCATGTAAATATAGTAATGTACAAGCAGTATTTCATATGTACAAAGCAACTTAGGCAAATTCAAAAGAATTCATATTGACTGAAAACTATTCTATTTTGAGGAAATGCCTCTTACATAAAATAAAATTCATTTATTCAAATATTCAAATTTAAATTTCCACAAAATAGAATACATGTAGTAAATATTAAACAAGAGCTGTCGGTAGGACAGCAACGCTCGACTATTCTTAGTGCTTGATAGTAAAAACAATGCTTGATACAGTTACCTCCTCCTGTTTACAGGTTGGGGTCATGATGGTGAACAAGTGTGCAAAGTTTCAAAGCCATATGTCAATGAACTTTGAAAATATTTGAACTATTACAAAAACTTTAACGTAAATTCTAAGTCGAAAAAGGGGCATAATTCTGTCAAAATGCTTGATAGAGTTACCTCCTCCTGTTTACAGGTTGGGGTCATGATGTTGAACAAGTGTGCAAAGTTTCAAAGCCATATGTCAATGGACTTTGAAAATATTTGAACTATTACAAAAACTTTAACGTAAATTCTAAGTCGAAAAAGGGGCATAATTCTGTCAAAATGCTTGATAGAGTTACCTCCTCCTGTTTACAGGTTGGGGTCATGATGTTGAACAAGTGTGCAAAGTTTCAAAGCCATATGTCAATGGACTTTGAAAATATTTGAACTATTACAAAAACTTTAACGTAAATTCTAAGTCAAACAAGAGCTGTCGGTAGGACAGCATGCTCGACTATTCTTAGTGCTTGATAGTAAAAAAAATGCCTGATACAGTTACCTCCTCCTGTTTACAGGTTGGGGTCATGATGGTGAACAAGTGTGCAAAGTTTCAAAGCCATATGTCAATGGACTTTGAAAATATTTGAACTATTACAAAAACTTTAACGTAAATTCTAAGTCGAAAAAGGGGCATAATTCTGTCAAAATGCTTGATAGAGTTACCTCCTCCTGTTTACAGGTTGGGGTCATGATGTTGAACAAGCGTGCAAAGTTTCAAAGCCATATGTCAATGGACTTTGAAAATATTTGAACTATTACAAAAACTTTAACGTAAATTCTAAGTCGAAAAAGGGGCATAATTCTGTCAAAATGCTTAATAGAGTTACCTCCTGCTGTCTACAGGTTGGGGTCATGATGTTGAACAAGTGTGCAAAGTTTCAAAGCCATATGTCTATGGACTTTGAAAATATTTGAACTATTACAAAAACTTTAACGTAAATTCTAAGTCGAAAAAGGGGCATAATTCTGTCAAAATGCTTGATAGAGTTACCTCCTCCTGTCTACAGGTTGGGGTCATGATGGTGAACAAGTGTGCAAAGTTTCAAAGCCATATGTCAATGGACTTTGAAAATATTTGAGATGGTACACAAACTTTGATGTAAATTCTAAGTAAAAAAGTGGCATAATTATGTCAAAATGCTTGATATTGTTTATAGATTGAGGGTCATGATGATGAACAAGTGTGTAAAGCTTCAAAGGCATATGTCAATGGACTTCGAAAATATTTTAGGTGGTACACAAACTTTTACATAAATTCTAAGTCGAAAAAGGGGTATAATTGTATCAAAATGCTTGATAAAGTTACCTCCTTCTGTCTACAGATTGTAGTCATGATAGTGAACAAGTGTGCAAAGTTTCAAAGCCATATGTCAATGGACTTTGAAAATATTTGAACTATTACAAAAACTTTAACATAAGTGGTTACGCCAACGCTGACGCTCGGGTGACTGCAATAGCTCTACTTATTCTTATCGAATAGTCGAGCTAAAAAGGGGCATAATTCTGTCAAAATGCTTGATAGAGTTTCCTCCTCTTGTCTACAGGTTGGGGTCATGATGGTGAACAAGTGTGCAAAGTTTCAAAGCCATATGTCAATGGACTTTGAAAATATTTGAACTATTACAAAAACGTTAACGTAAATTCTAAGTCGAAAAAGGGGCATAATTCTGTCAAAATGCTTGATAGAGTTACCTCCTCCTGTCTACAGGTTGGGGTCATGATGGTGAACAAGTGTGCAAAGTTTCAAAGCCATATGTCTATGGACTTTGAAAATATTTGAACTATTACAAAAACTTTAACATAAGTGGTTACGCCGACGCTCAGGTGACTGCAATAGCTCTACTTATTCTTATCGAATAGTCGAGCTAAAAATTAGTAAATATTAATATTTGTTTTGTCTAATAGCCAATGTTCTGAAACTTTTTACAGGCGAACATGCATTAGCGGTCACCATCATTACATGACAATCAATATCAAGTCGGGCTACAAATAATTCCTATACATGTTGATAATCTGGCCCTGTTGAACATGATCAGCGACCACTTTCATGTCAGACCAATAATGGCAATAGTATGATCAGCTAAAGGAAAGGTACCATTGCCAAAGGCTAGTCACTTCCTGTACCAGCAGACTCAGGCCATTTTCCAATCTCAGTATGTTTCTTCACAAATCACTACAAATTCAACATTCTTAAAACTTTTCCAGCAAAAACATTTCAAATTCATTACCTTGATTTTAGATTTTCAGTAATTTCTTCTGTGTTTAACAATGCCCTCAGACGTTCCCTCAAGGTAGGTAGCATTGACAAAACTAGAAAAATATATAAACATTATGATTATTTTCTTTTTCTTTATTCAACATAAAAAATAGAAAATAAATGAAAAGGCAATTGCACAACCTTGTCTAGCTTGATCTCTTTAATCTTTGTCCTTAGCCTGCTGCAGTTATGTAATGGAATTGTCCTATTTTCAAACTTTTGGGACTCAGGAATGGTTCATTTGATTTTAATATTTAAATCAGGCAACAAACAGTATACTTTTTCTATTTGGTTGGGTTTTTTGTCACACTAACACAGTATAGGCCATATGGTGACTTTCTAACTTCATGTGTGGAGGAAGATCTCAAATGCCCTTCCATGCATTATTTGGGCACAAATGAAACCTGAGTAGAATCACTGACATTCTGTAAGCTAGCTGAATAGCTTACTAACATGAAAGAATCCAAAGTGCCTCTCTGGATTCAAACCCACAGTGGTGAGGGGAAAATAGTTCATAAACAGTCTGATTAAACAGATTATGCAGACTGGCAGGCTTTTAGTTTATCCTGCCAGCATATAAACAGGCTTATGCTAATCGCAAAAGGTAAAGTTATTCATCTAACACCATGGCGACTTTCCACCTTTACTGATGAAGGAATACCTCAGGTGCCCTTCTCTGCATTATGTCAGGCACAAACAGGCACCTGAGTAGAACCACCGACACTCATTCCGTAACCTAGCTGGATAGATTGCTCACATGAAAGCATCCAAGGTCCCTGTCAAGATTCGAACACACAATGGAGCAAGTGGTTTGAAGTCAATGACCTTAACCACTCTGCTGGCCTACAACTCATATGTCATACTCACAAAAGTACATGTAGATCTCATAATTACATGTATGTCACATTGTACAAAATGAAATATTCAAAAGATGCCACTTAATACTATACAATACAAACGTACATACCTGTCATATTGCATGTTCTCTGATTGTTGTCAAAATGATGCTGGCGCCTGAAGAAAGAAAATCCAAAACACTGACTAGAATATTTAAACCAAAAAAATATCTAGTTCAGAAAAATCAATGAACAACTGCAAAACAGTTTTATTAAGAAGCTTTAAAAGGAATTATTGTATCATTCAAATATGAATCATATAACAAAATAATATTCTGCTACATAAAAAGCCCTCATTCTCATAATGTGCAATATTCAAAATCATTGCTATAAAAATAGGAATACAGTTTTGAAATATTTACCTTGCATATTCAAGGCATTCTGCTGCCTCTTTATTTTGGAAGTCTTTCAGTTTTTTGCCTATATAATGATAAAAGTACCTGCCACCTGAAATACATTAATTAGTATTCAATGTTTATAAAAAATAATAAAAAAATATTCATAAAGTAACACAATTTGTCGAGACATGTTTCACTTTTCTTTTTTGATTGTACAAGAAAATAAGAACCATAAAAGTTATAGAAGAGAGTGAGAACTAAAAAAGTTAAGGTCAATGTTAAAGACTGGATGCAAAGACCACATAATGATACATATCTGAACTATTGTTTACAGTATGTCTTTTTCAGGAATTTTTAGGTTACATACCATGGAGGAAACATACCACTGCATATGTACCATTTTTGTAGGTTATGTACCGCATAGTAGAAAAAAGGGATAATAAGGGCTAAAGGCAAAATTGTCCATTCTTTAAATTTATGCATTAATTGATCTTTAGATTGTATTTTTATAATGAGATTATAATTATAATATAATAACAATAATAGTATTTCATAGTTTGTAATTTGTTTGATTACTCATTTCTGTGTGATAATCATACATAGATGTAAGTTAAACTGCCTTTTGCTTTTTAAGTAAATTAGTATTGTAATATTCAAGGCCGTCGTCGATGGTCCGGCCGGTCCGGCTTTGGCCGGACCAATATTTTGACCGAAAATGAGTAAAAAAAACCAAAAAAAACACGCATCGCTGATTAGCAATTTGACACTTAACTGGCCCCTTATGCAATGCGCGGTAATATACAAACATGACGCGAAGAAACAACTGGACACAATTAATTGACCAGGAATATGTAGGGGTCCTACGAAGTCAAGTTCGAGTACTTTTTCGGTGTAATGCTCGCACACGACATCCTAGCATTGACAGACAACCTCAGCAAATCTCAACAACTTTCATTGTAAGCATCGAGAATGGGCACGGTGTTAGCTACCACCCCGTTACAGTGCAGGACGTGTTCCGGCCTAGGTACTTTTAAGCAATCTTTCCATCGCCAGAGTTAAAGAGAGATTTGACCAACCGGGATATCGCGTACTTCAAAACATGGAGAATTTACTTATAAAGGCTGCACAACCTTTGAAGACCAAGTACACTAGAGAACTTGGTTTTGTTTGGTAACGATATTGACTGAGACATCTAAGATGTGCAGATTCAGCTGCTACGTTCACATTTTGACAAATCAGAAATTAGTACTGTTACTCTACCTGACATTTTGAAATTTGAGTCAGAACAGTCAGCACTATTCTCTGAGGTCGTTGTGTTGTTAAAGATTTTGTCAGTAATGCCTGCTACTAATGCTAGCAGTGAAAGGACATACTCGGCGTTCAGAAGAATTAAGACATACCTGAGATCGACAATGTCTCAAGTACGCTTGAATGGTGTTACATATTCATAAGTACGGGACAGATTCACTCAACTTACGTGTGATTGCCGATGAGTTCATTACTACCAGAGACCGACGGCGATGTGTTTTGGAAAATTTGCATAAAATGAGACTCTGTGTTGTGCAAGATTATTGTTTACAAAATACAAGTTACTGCTAAACAAAAAGTGGTTATTGTTGACTCGTAATTATTCTTCCATCATGTCATCGATTGTCTATTTATGCTAAACAATAATCCACGTACTGTAATATTTCTTTTATTTGTTTATTTATAATCATCAGATAAAAATGCATCTAAAGAATTATAATAACATAAGTTATTGTTTATTTTTCATTTGCCAAATATCAATTAAATGTATTCATCTTTTAGGTACGTACACCTGTCCGTCCGTCATGCGAACCTTAAAACTTACGACGCACTTAAATCGTTGACATATTACTATAACATGTACTAGCGGCAGGCTGTAAACTGTGTCAAATATACGCCCCTGAGAGCATCCTAGAAGAAAAATTTTTCCGGGGGAGCATGCCCCCGTACCCCCCTAGATTCTACCTAAAACCAATCAAATTGGCCGCACCAATCACAAAATCGTGACGACGGGCCTGATATTTAAGTAATAATTTGTTCATTTACTTTTTTATTATAATTAATCAGCTATATTACGTATTATTTCATAGAAATAAAATTAAAATATTTATCAATGGTACATATGCTTCAAAATATATAAGTGGTATGTAACCTCCATGGTACTATCCTCCATGCAGTAATCCTTTTTCAACTGCCTTAGTACAGGGTCTTTCAAATTTTTGAAAGACCCTGCTTAGAACTAAATGAAATGAAGATTAAACAGATAAAAAAGGCATCATAGAAAGCCCATAAAGCATTGGTGATAATTTTTCCATTATGTTGCATCTTTAACTGAGGTTGATTTAAGGTGTTACAGTACTGTTTCTTTTAAATGCTTTGAACAGCCAAAACCACTCAAAAATATTGCAAAAAAATAATGATTCTCATCAAGTGAGTTTGATTGCCTGCACTTACTGTAGTAAATGCAAGGAACTGCTCACATCTGTTAGAAATAAATAACATTTCAACATTTGACATGAAAAGGTAAACAATTTGGAAGAGTAAAACTACTATCCGAACGAGGATCTATCCGAACACGCATCTAAAAAGAGTTTATCTAGAGCTATAGAAATCGCTCACCAATTAAAAAAATTGCCCCAAAGACAATTTTTTTCTTATGCCTTCTTACGAAATTCCAAACTCTGTACAACATTATGCAAATTTAAAGTACAATGACATGAAAAATATAAAATCATGTGAAATGTTGTTGTAGTTGTTGTTGTTGTTGGTATCTTGGTATTAAACTACTAAATTTCTTGGTATAAAACTACTAAATATTTATAAAATCTAAAATATGCATAAAAAATTATGTTAGAAAAATGGACTTGAAGCATTATACTATAATGATTAACATTTCGAGAGTAAGGGATCTTTTGAATGAATACAAAGTGATATTTGCATTTATCAAGCACGAATAAAAAGAACAACTTATTGGAAAGACTTGCCCCCAGATGTCACCTTGTCCGGACCAAATAGGCAGACTGAGCCTCTCCTTTTATACTTTTTTACTGTACTTTTATCTCAGTTTTACGCCTTTGTTTTTTATCCTTCTTATAAATGGGACAGAATAACATTATATCTAAAGCAGGGTTTGACTTTAAATGGAAGATAGGCTTAATATGTAAACATATATACACTGCGCATATGCTTTGTAAGAGACCATTTCAAAACTAGCATTCCCCATTTCAAAACGGATAAAAAATCCTTTTTACCATTGAGTCTCATTAAAGTATTTATTGAGATTTTATGGTAAATAGGATTTTTTGAATTCATGGGGAAGTTAAACCATATCAAGCGCCAAAAGAGCACTTAAACAACCTACAGTAGCCTTTAGGTAAGATATATATATAATGTAGCCCAGATAACGACTGTTTGTGCCAAGCAAAGGGGGCACCTTTCAAAGTCGTCACTACGTGCTATAGGGGCTGACGCACCCTACAAATGTACATGCAAAAATTTTATCGTTCCTCGTCGTCTCTGCCTATCTTGTAGGGTACATGTAGCTTGGACATCGGCAGCAAACTTCATAAGAGCTAAGTACGTCGTACCGCCTTACACGGTAACCCTGAGCTGCAGAACGCATACGAACTTGTCGCCTTGTAAACACGTTGCAGTAGATCTTAAATCATATGCCGATGTCTCTTGCTTCTTTTTTTTATGCGTTTATTTAAAATAGTCGCCGCCGGAAAGCCCATATGGACGACCGTACACTCAAGTCGGGTCATCCTAGAGCGTCCCGCCGAGATTTTTCGTCGATTTTTTTCCAGCTTTATTGGTGGAGAAAGACCCCAGGTGCCCCTCCGGGCATTATTTCAGGCACAAGCGGGCACCTGGGTAGAACCACCGACCTTCCGTAAGCCAGCTGGATGGCTTCCTCACATGAAAGATTTCGACCCGAGTGAGGATCGAACCTACAGTTGTGAGGGACCTGTGATCTCAAGTCAACGACTTTAACCACTCGGCCACGGAGGCCCTCTTGCTTCTCCACGGCGTGGTGAGAGTAATTCAAGTATACCACCGTTTAACGCTCGATAATGTACTGTACGTGTTTCTATTCCCTGTATCAGTAGCCAAGGTCTCCGGCCTACCGAACTAATTTCTTAACAAAATAAGACAAATTAACCAAGATAACATAATCTTTTCTATACTTTACGGAGGTATAAACACATCCCTGTATACATGAGCGGTTCAAACTTAATTAGGTTTCTTTATGAAATTTAGATTTCCATAATGATATGGTTCTACGTATACATATGGGTTCTAGGTTATATGTGATTCTTTTTGTTTAAAAAAAACATACATGTATATTGTTACAATAAGAATGACACTGACTCAGAGTCACTGCCATATTAAAACACATCTGCGAATGTTTCTAAATTCAAATTTTTGCAACATTTTACTTTGTATTCTGCCTGGGTTGGTGCTTAAATTGCATCATGACCGGTCGACTGCACATTTTAAATTTAGCCGTTTTGGGCGTTTTTAAGGTTTTCATTATATGAATTTCATCACTGACCTGGTTAAAGCTTCACATTAATTAATCGGGACATGTCATTTTATTAAAACCTACCCATTTGAATAAACTAACTAACTAACTAACTAACTAACTAACTAACTAACTAACTAACTAACTAACTAATTATCTAACTAACTAACTAACTAACTAACTAACTAACTAACTAACTAACTAACTAACTAACTAACTAACTAACTAACTAACTTACTAACTAACTTACTAACTAACTAACTAACTAACTAACTAACTAACTAACTAAGTAGCCACACTAACTAACTAACTAACTAAGTAACCGCACTAACCACACTAACTAACTAACTAACTAACTAACTAACTAACTAACTATCTTAACTAACTTTACTAACTAACTAACTAACTAACTAACTTGATTACAAACTCTATTACATACTGAAGGACATTTAGCCGAATTTTTTACATCTGAATGGGACCTTGGAGATCAGTAAGTCATACAAACTAGCGTGCTCTACACTTTATCAAAATTTAAAAAAAAAAAAAAATTATTTAAAAAGTTTTGGCAAAAATAATAATTGGATCATTTTTCGTACTAGTTATTTTGTCCAAAACAGATCACGAAAAAAGACGTACGTGGTGATGGGATGGAACAACGCACTATTATCCAGATGTCGTGGGTTCTCGTCCAAACTCTGGTGCGAAATTACTGGTTATGAAATGGTTATGAAAGTTAATGAAATCATAAAAAAGTTAAACAGTCATAGATCGTGACTTAAAAATCTGGAAACAAAGTGATCCCTCGAAACCATTAATGGTGCACCATTAACCGGTTAAAACTCCCCAGCAGTGCTTTTGCTGCTGACCGTTCTAAAGCGGCGGCCCTCTGTGTTCCTCAGATGTTTCTCTTGTTTATTGTTGCATATTATTGTGATTGCACTTTTGTGTCCCTTCTTGATTTTTCGTCTACTGTAAGTATCTTCCCTTCCCGTAGTTTTTTTTTCTTCAATTGTACCCTCCCCGTGCCTCATCCTTCTTGCCCCTTTCCCTGCACCCTTATCATTGTGTAGGTCTTTTAATTAATTTTGCAAACTTATTTTTTTTCAGTCAAATATCAAACTACCAAAGTTTTCAGCGAAGATCATATTGATTAGTCACAGATATTCATTGAAAATTTATAAATGCAATTGTGTTTTTTTTTAACTTGCTTTTAAAATGTTTTTAAACGGCTTTGACATTTAGGGGTTTCTTTATTTAGTTGTAAATTTTTATCATTTACTGGTGTCCCGACTTTTGTGCCTTCTCCTGCTTTATGTTCGGTGCCATACTGAATGCATTTGAGGATTTTGTCGGGGGCTGCATTCTCTTAAAACGTTTTGCATTGTTGATCTTTGTTCCTATATTTTTCCTGTTCCACAGTCATAAAGCACGTGCGTATTTCTGACATGTCCATGCGGAAATGATGGATTTATCAAAAAGCCAGAATAAACGCTGTATATGCAATCACTATGGAATATTTCAGTGCTCATCACCATGTAATATTACAATTATCATCACTATGGAATATTTCAATTATTATCACCATGGAATATTTCAATTATTATCACTATGGAATATTTCAATTATTATCACTATGACATATTTCAATTATCATCACCATGTAATATTTCAATTATCATCACTATGGAATATTTCAATTATTATCACCATGACATATTTCAATTATTATCACTATGGAATATTTCAATTATTATCACTATGGAATATTACAATTATCATCACTATGACATATTTCAATTATCATCACCATGTAATATTTCAATTATCATCACTATGGAATATTTCAAATACCATCACTATGGAAGCTATGAATCACAAGATTGGCAACGGAAACAGTCCGTCGCGATTTGAAATCATTGCTGACCAACAGTCGTGCAATCCGAAAATAATGGTCCTTACGATGTTTGTCGGTATTCGCGTTAAGCAAGACATCGTTCAGCACGTTTGCAACGGGAAAGACGACAAATATGATTTACACGTTTGCTCTTTGGTGCTTACATCCATACCAGTTTTTAGTTACAAGACAAAAATAGCCGCGTTATTCTTACACAAATATGAATATTGTACTCAACGATCCGCATCTGTTCTTAGGTTTAATGTAAAGTCGATATCAAGCTGTTGTAGCATCACGCAGAGATAAAACAAATATTGCAACATACATCTTTGTGAATTTTTAATTAGCGAATGACCGTCTTTGAAACAATATGAATTTTTTGAGAGATTCATTCAAAATATAACAAAATGAACTGATATAAAATCGATTTTTTTTTTTTCAATAAAGAAAAGAAAGACATGCGGACGGACTAAATAGTCTCTATAATTTCCTTATGAAAATTTTTAGAAACTTGTTTCAGTTTTTTCTCAAATCCCATTTACAATGTTCAGATATGGCTATATCAAGAGCCATTTAAAAACTTAATATTATTAAACTTAATCAATTATTCTTGACACAAATACAAAAAAAATTTACCTTCTTGTTTTAAAAATATTAACGATAAAAAAGGTAAACTTGTGTTTTAGATATATAAATTATAAAAAACAGCAACAAATCAGTTTTACTTATTTTAAAAATAAGATAAAAAATTAAGAGAGAGGGACCAGAAAACCGATCATAATTGTCATCTAGCAACGGGGCCTCCTTTTATATTCATATAATAATTATGTATAATTTCGAACATTTGTGGAAAACGTAAAGGAGGTTTACCATATGAACATTTTAAGTTGTAAAACTACATCTTTTTCACTCATTTAACACAAAAAGTACAAATACATTGCAAATACATGCATATCTTAATTCAAGAATTTTCAAAAATAAAAAAAAAGGAAAAAGAAAACCAGAATGAGACAAGACTAAAAAGAATAAAGAGAACTTTTTTTAAAGAGGCTTTCAATAGGGCTTGAACTCACAACCTATACAAACTATAATCCTCACTGAAACCGAATACTTTTTAGAAAAAAAGATTCTGCATTAGGTATCTACGAGTAAAACCAAAACTTTGGAACACAATTTCACACAATTCGCTCACTCCATTTTTCCAGAATATTTTTTATTGTTGAAATTGACTTAAAATGGAAAGCGTTTAAATGCTGTTAACTAAAATTGGACTAAGAATCGATTTTCAATTAAAACCAGAGGTTATTATGTTTTTTGCCAGTTTTAGGTGTCCAAGTCGATCTAGGCAAGAATTTCATTTTTTTTATTGTTTAAGGGGTTTGAACCTAAGTGGAGCTTCTTTAAAGGGAAACACTTCTACAGGTTAAACCTCTTATTGTATTATATAATTATTAACTTTTACTAATTTATTTTAGTTCGATTGTGTTGGAAGCTATAAGCTTATTGAAACACTCTCGAATCCGTTCCTGGAACCAACCAGTACTAAGCAATGAGCGCAGTTTCTTGCTCATGGAAACAACAGCTTGCCCCCACGCGGCCAGCAATCCTGAGATTACTAGCCCAACGCGTTAAACACCTCGACCACACACCGCCACTTTTTAATATTTACTAACTGAACATATTTTTCATATCTAAATTAAAAAAGAAATGTTTAACAATGTTTTATTTATGCTCGTATGAGTCTTACGAGCCCTTCCTTTTTATTACTCTTGAAAAATGACGTGAGCCCACGTCAGTTCATGTTTGTCAAATCAGAATAGTTAAAAAGACGAGAGACATGCATTAGCATAGTTAGCAACATTTTGCTTCTTACCATAACTCAATGCTCGGGTATAAATTCAACACACTGAAAACATTCTTAGCATTACGAGCACGACATTTATACGCACAGCTACCATATTTCTTGTTGAAAGAGACTACCTGAACGTGGACTGTTCATAATGGCTACAAGGTAATTTTTTATTACAAATGTAATTGTTTTAATTTGTTATTAAAATATTTCATCTTAAGAATGAAGAATTCTGAAAATTGACTTTTTCTACATGTCTAACATGAAAATGAAATTTTTTGTTAAATCTTTATGTAGGAATTTTATGAATTGGATACTCTTTTTAAAAATAAACAAATTAATTTATTTTATACATGTACTCAATTTGTTTGAAAAATGTTAATGACGCAGAATATTTTTCATTATATATTCTGAGCGTCTTTTCTAATAAATTAAAATATGAATATAATTTGTCTTTTTCATCATATTGTTTCAATGATTTTAGGAACTTAAGCTCCTTGTATGTAACCCAGTCATGTACTTTGTGAAGATTCAGTAAAAAATTGCTCATCAATTAAATAATCATATTTCATACGCACATTTCAATATTATAGCAATGTAGTACACTATGTTATTCTACGAAATAAACTGCTTGGCAATATTTTAACATTGTAGATATGTAGAAGACTAATATAAACATTGGATCAAATTGTTTACTCAACAATTGCTATGTTCTTTTCTTTTTAGTTTGAAAATACGTCAGCACATTCAGAAGAATGGTGTGAAGGTGATGGTTTTGGGACATGAACAAGTTGGTAAGACGACCATAATAAACAACCTGTGTAGTATCATCTCAGATACGCTACAGAGCGAGGGGGACACGTTCAAATTCATGGAAGCATCCCTATCCGATATGCCAAACTTAAGGAAATTGATGATTGGAACTGCCAATGCATTCATTCTCACATATGCCGTAGATGATGATGCTTCATTTGATTACGTCACAACCCTTATAAATGATGTACAAGCAGTAAAAGGTACCTATAATTTCATATTCTATATATTATATACTAGTCAGCTTTTCTGGTATTCTAAATTAATTTTATCTTTTTAGAAGTATTCGTAATGTAGATACAAATTTTTTTTTTCGTGAGAAAGTAAAGTAAAGCATATACGAAGTGTACCAAATGATATTTGGTCCGTCTTAGAAAATACTAAACAAATACCACTCAAGAGTCAGTTATACTACAGTATTAGACATGTCGGAAACTATATTGGAGTATAGAAGAAAGCCTTTGAGACATAAAGACACTAGCATTTCAGTATAATAACCTTTGTTGTTGTTTTTTTTGTCTTTATAGGAAAAAATACACCTGTGTTTGTCGTGGCCAATAAAATGGACAAAGAAACAACTATACAGAAGCGTATCATAGCAGACTGTGTCATCACGATTGATTACGAATGCGATCATTTTGAGGTGTGTGCCAACACCGGTAAGAATATAGACAGCATAGCCAAAAAGCTGTTTGATTATTATGGAAAATATCTTCTGTTTCCAACCAGTATAGAGGAGGAAGAGACATATGCTGAAATTGAAGAAACAATGACTAAATCAAGCAAAAAGCTGAGAACTACAATTCGCGAATTCTTTTGCATAAGATGATAAACTGGGTAGTAAATTTGTAGTGTAAATAAAGATTTTTTTCAGTTTATGTAATTATAAAAGTTAATGTAATTATAAAAGTTTATGTAATTATAAAAGTTTATATAAAAATGTTCTAATAACAGCGTTAAATATGTTTGTACATGTTTGTACACGTTGATATGCGACGATAATAAATGTTTATGTACATATAATAAGGTGATAATATGTATCAAAATGTTTAAAAGATTGTTGACTGAGATGTCTTGAACATATTTTATAAATTGTTTTGGTCGTTGAATAACATTTAAAAATAAGTGTAATGAAATAAATGTGAGATATTTGTAAAATTGCACTGTTTTATTGTTTTAGAATAAATATGAGTGCTTGACTTTTCAACTGGTTTGTCGTTGTCTTCTTTTCTTTGTGCTTTATAGGTTAAAAATTATATAGAATGTTATTTTAAAAACCCACGGTATTCAACAGCTTCTTAATTATTTGTAAAAATGATAAACAGCTTTATAAGGTTTTTCATAATTTGTGAGACAGGTTTACTTTGAAGTAGTTTAAACATACATGTATTTATTTAAGCTCGATTGCGAAACAAATCCTTGCAACTTATATTACTCCCTTTCGAGTCCGCTTCCTGGAACCAACCAGTACTGGTGTTATATGAAGAAACATGGTCGTGACCCGATTAGGGCCCGAACTCATGATTCCTGGGTTGAGTGGCAGACACCTTAACCACTAGGCCACCGCTCCCCACTTTTTAAAGACAGTACACTGTAAATTCTTATCCGGTTGCTTTGCAAACGTTTCATAAGAATTGGCCTATCCTTGATTTGTAAACTGTTAATTAACATCTCCGAAAACAATGTGATGGTTGTAGAGCGATTACCTTTTTCCAGCATCAGTATCATGTGGATTTTTTTCTTCTGAAATCAAAATACATTTAACCTCTCCAGAACAACCTGTCTCAGCAACAACCCAATTCTTCCTAAGGGTGTTTGCTTTGTAGCGACTGTGTGTTCACCTGCTATAATTTGATGAAACGGGTTCATATAATTTATATTATCAGCTTAACACAGAACTGCAAGGGTTTGCTGATTAGGCCAGATACTTTGGGTATTTTTTAAAACTATATTAGAATTTTTGTTTCCCCCAAAATTTTTGATTTATATACTGCTTACTATTGTTACAAATACATCTGGTCCAAAAAAAAAATTGCATAGCGAAGGAAAACTTTTTTTTTCTCCACAAGATTGCGAATGCGGGAGTGCTGAAGTATGTGGAAGACTAAAAGTTTTCGCACGATACTAAAATAGACTAAAATAGACTTTATTAATGTACATATATCAATTTCGTAGAAGTCCACTTCACTTGGTTTAGTTTCGCCAACTGTTTTCTAGTTTAGGACACACTGAGGACCATACGCCGCTCTTCATCGAATGACACTTAATTATTAAAGGTTCCATGATTACTACCGTATTAACGATTCTGCGGATTCTTCTTAATCCAAAATTTTACCATTTCATTTGCTTAAGCCGGTGCTTAAGGCGTAGACGGTACCTTGCACTATCCAGAACAGATTTTTTCTGAAAACGCAGACGTAAAGAAAAAAATAGTATCTTCAGAAATAATATCTATCAATTGAATCTGCAGGTAATATAGTAAGAGGCTGTGAAATTAACCAAAGATTTCATTATGAATAGATTCGTTTTAAAACAAACTGTATGATAAGACGAACATCATGTAAGCATGCTCAGAAAATACTCCTTACTTAACTTCATATTCTGCTGATTCTATTTGAGTGTTTATAATTTTCTGGTACATGTGCATATTTATAACATGTCATAGGTTATTTTAAGGCTAAAAGTACAATAAAGGAGTCTATAAAGATGTTTCAAAATTCAAAATATCGCCATTTTCAAATTTAAATGTGGAGTTATGCTTCAGTCGGTGATAAGGGGCGTGCAAATATTTAGATGGCTTTGCTGTATCTTATAAAGATCTTGATGACCAGAATGAGCTCTAAGTTTGCCAGGTGGTGGCAACCAGCCCGCTCTCAGCACTATGAAGGCAAACGCAGACCTTTTGATGGACTCGCATTTCGACGCGAATACGTGCATTTCAATATCTTTGGGAAAGAAGGGAATTTACTTCTATTGGTAGGAATTTGTTTTAAAAACACTGTTACTTCCCTTGTTAAAGTAACGCTGAATTACTTTCCTTTGATTAACGTTATTATTATTGATTTTTAGGTATATGTAAATGGTGGTCTGAAAATGATTTGTGCATATGTTGATAAAGTCCATGAATAATAAGGAATAAAGATTTGATTTTAACGGAAATTAAATATGATTATAAGTGGGCAAAATTAATATTCATTAACTATCATGTCCAATGGTTTTTATTTTTACGACGTTTGCCTACTTGTAAAGTGTAAAACGGAAAAATAATTTACATCCTTAAAGGAACTCAACTGAGTTTTATAAGCTTTTAATTTCTCACATAGATAAACTGGGGCCCTTAAAACAGAAGTATAATATAACGAAGAAATATACTCAGAAATACATTGAAAATCGTATGTTTTGTGCGATTTGAGTTTTTTTTCAATTTTGGGTCATTTTTCACATTTTGAATAATTATTCTGGAAGAACGGAGCGAGCTAACGATCTGAAATTTTACAATGAGTTGTTAGTTTAGACCTACATGTAATGGAGTAATAATCTCGAAAAATTATTTCCAGTCCCGTCATGTGAATAAGCCTCAGTGGAGTCCCTTTAAACTGTACTATGTACTATAATGCAATGTAGTTATTATTTTAATTTTGAAAGACAATTCTTCCAAAATGCCTGTACGAAAGAAATACATTCGTAGATTTCCTCAAAACAAATAGTGCATGTATACGATATTACTAAACGGTAAAACCACTACTTGAAATGGCAGAATAATATGGTATTTTGTTTCGGAACATTTTATTCTGTTTATATGTTACAACTCTTTCAAGAATCAACCATAAGATTGTGAAAACAACACATTTTTACTGTTTGAAAATTATATAAAAAATCATTAGAGATAGATTTATACTATTTAATATGCTCTTTCTATTACTTCAATGGTTTATATAGCAGCCTGCAATTTAAAACAAGTACCGGTTATTGGAAAGGTTTGTGTGCTTAAAAAGATAAAAATTGCTCTAAGATTTGCTCAATAATTTAGCCATACTCTGTGAAATAGAATCAATCTATGAATGAATGTAAAAAGCCTTCACCGTTAAATTTTCTGTTCACATTTGATATTTACTAACCGGCCAGTTATGCTGTATTTTCAATGATGAAAATGACATAAATAAAAGAGCAACATTTTCAACACAGCTATTGGTTCTTTGGAAAAAATAAATCATCTTAAATATTATAAGTATACTCTCGACAACTAAAATCATAATTGATTGAAAAAGATTATGCCTAAATGGAATGCACATAAAAATATGATAAGTCAGCAATATCATAAGTACGGAATACCGTTAGGGCCATCGTGGTTATACGTTAAAATACAGAGGGCGACAATGCGATAGTGCGACAGTGCGATGACGACAATGCGACAGTGCGATGGCGACAGTGCGATAACACTATCGCTCTGTCATCATCGTACTATCGCGTTATCGCGTTGTCGCCATCGCACTGTCGCATTGTCGTCATCGCACTGTCGCATTCTCGTCATCACACTGTCGCATTCTCGTCATCGCACTGTCGCACTTGTCGCCCTCTGTATTTTAACGTATAACCACGATGGCCCTAACGATATTCCGTACATAAGGGATTTCGTGTTATCAATAAAAATAGTTCGTGATTTTTTGAAATCGCTATGTCGCTGGTGATAACGCGGAATCGCCATTTGAAGCTTTACGAGATTACTCGATTTTCCTGATTGCACACTTTCTCATTATCTGTATAAAGATGTATTTCGTGGCGAATTGATTTTTGATTTCAGTGAATGTTCTACTAATTTAGATATCTTTTAAGATGTATGAAAGCGGTTCTGTACGTATGATATGATTTTGATAAACCCCTTTTGTAAAGAAGTTTAAAGCTTAAAGCTGCATGCCTCCAGATGGGCCAAAACATTTCAAGAAAATCACCTTTGAGTAAAATTAACTAAGAATAAAAGTGAAGATATTCAGAATTCAAATAACAAATAATGATTATAGCATATTTAACAATGATTTTGTAGCATTTATCACCATATTTCTACTACGTGACTGACGCAGTAAGGGCCTTTTTTGCATATTTTGACCTTTATTTGTTAATCTAAACGTGCCGTTGGCAATGCATTAATTATTGTTGTTGTTTACAAAACAATATTGTATCTTCTTATACACGTTCAAAATTTTCATGAAAATAAACGTGAATCTCAAGGCTTTAAGAAAAAAAGATATTGAAAAAATACCCATTCGCTCGACGAAAATGTCAGAAATGGCTCTCTTTCATAGCCATGATATTTTAATGGAAAGGAAACGTTTTTGGCTGCCTATGAATTATTCGTTTATTACTTAAAGAAACATTGTTCATTTCTTTGATATGACGTAACCTATAAAGGGTAACGCGAGTTTTAACAGTATAAAATTACCCTCAACCCATCCATTGTAAATATACATAAAACCAAAATCAAACAAGTTAAAGAGATAACGAAGTTGACTTTGTGTAATGAAACACTTTCACTGTATTATGATGACGTTGTGAGCACGTGGATTGCAATTCAATATATATAGACCAGGCCTCGACACTAACTTATTTAGCAGGTGGTTCGCCGGACCACTAGATTTGAAAGTTAGGTGGTCCTTCCAGAAGTTAGGTGGTCAGTTATCATTATTATATCATTTTACTGCAAATGTAGAAAAAAATGCTTAAACTTGATGACAAAGATGTATTATTAACCTTTAAAGAAAACAGATATTTTTAGATATATTTTTTTCATGTAATCAGAAAAGGGAGAGTAAATCAGTAGGTAATCTATCGTAGAGTTATTTGTTTGTTTGTTTTTATCTCATTCAAAAATACACAACAGAGCTCTTATTTATGTTAACTTTTATATTGAAGTGATTTCTCCCTCAACTCAAGTTAGGGAATAGTGAAGCCATTTGTGTCTGTTATTATTTTTACTGTTATTCAAATATTCATTGCTGGTACGTGGTACATCTTATAATCATGATAATAACATAGTATCTTTTATAGATAAACATTTTTAATGAAACTAATAAACTATCTTATTCTTGTCTTTGAAAACAAGGAAATATCTAAATTATTAAAATAATAACAAAGTTATAGATAACTATAGTTTTGCTTATTTTTCTCACAGATTTATAACACAGAATTTTTACCACCCTGTTGCTTGTTGGTTGATATTCATTTTTGACATTGAGTATTTTTAACCTTTTAAAGTATTTTTAACTCTAGGAGATATAGATCTTTTATCGTTATACAGTTAAAATAAAGATAAATAGCAAAGAATTTCTAGATGTTTTTTTTTCCAGTTCCTTTCGTTTGCTGCCGTTAATTTTAGTTTATCTAATATCATATAATTACCATCATCCGATACTCACGGTTGATTAACATGTAACATAACAATAATGTTAATGGTTCCACCATGGGTATCAGACGATGCATAATTACTAGCACTATTTGAATGAATTGTGTACCTTAATTAATATGACAAATTCTTAACTCTTTTACATTGCATAAACAAAATTTTTGCGACTTCAAATGAAAGTTATTGATGACTTAAGAACTTCTTTAACTAATCAGAGATTAATGAACCATAAACATGTGCATTGGACACATGATTTTAAACAAAATTGTATAACATATTTTTGACCAAATCGCCTTTCTCCCAAATGAGCCTTGTATCAACCAGAAAATTCAAGTGGTCCGACGGACCAGTGGAATTTAAAATAAGGTGGTCCTTGCCAAAATCAAGTGGTCTGGGACCAACGGACCACCGCTAATGTCGAGGCCTGATTATAGATAACTCGAAGCAAAACCGGTATAACCGCGGTAGACAGTCTGTCTTTTTATTTTGCCTTATAAATCAATTCGAAAGCTCTCTTTGACGCAACTTTTTACTGTGCTCAAGATACCAAAAGCAAGAGTACTACAGTAGTCCCGTACTTCACTTCAGTGTTGTTATATTTTTCTAGTTCTTCTGGATCATTTATTTTGCCACTAGTCTTTTAAGTGTTGAAAATTGAGTACCGGTCAAGCCGGTGTCACGGGGCGTGGGGTATGTTGCACTTTTTCATTATTCCTCATCTGCAGACTCAATAAAACCGAGTCTGCAATTACCATGTAATTTTGTTGTAATTAATTCTTCCGAGGGATCACCCTTTTCCAGATTTTTTAATGGCTAACCTGGCTAAGAAAATAGTTTACGTGAATAAGATCTCATTATAACCTCATTTTATTAGGTTAATCAAAGCCTGCCTAGCAGTTGTTGAGAGTATAAATGTCTAGGTATTTGTTATCATTAAAAATATTCAAATAATTACTTTGTATAGTTTGATCTTTCCACTTTCATTAACCAAATACTGTTGCTGTCGTTCATAATCAAACAACTGAATGAAGACAAATGTGGCTTTCCATAGTTCACTGTACATTGATCAGGTCAAACAAAGATAACGATTTGCTAGGTCAGATTGATAAAATTTAATACAACTTATGCCATATCTTAACGCAATATATAAGCATCTTGTCAACATTTTTTTTCAATAACGTTTTACTAATATTTTCAGTAAAATATTGTATTTTTAACGGATTTAATAGCTGGAGCTGAAGTTAAACATGAGAGGATCACGAGGGATGCGGCCAGCAAGGTATGCTGAATTAGATTATCATTTATATGTGCAATAGAAAGTAAAACAGACGAAGAGCGAGAATATAATAGGACAAGATTGAAAACAAAAGAATAAAAAAATTACGGATCTTAATTTCAAGACACGTTTCATCTTTAAACTGACAGATTACATCGATTGTTGACATATAAAACAAGGAAAATGTATCCTAGCGTTTGTTCAAAGAATTTTTTATCTGTGCTAAGAGCGAAAGTAAATTTACTCGGGTGTTTAACATTTGTAATTCATTAAAATTTACCAAAGTATCCGAGCCTTTATTGGTGTTTGAACTGTTTATGACAGGATTTATACACACTGCGCGAGCAACAAGTACAAAGAGCAAACAAAACCATTACTAATCGTGGCTTAAATTCCTGTTCGAGTAGGAAAATAAAGAAAACTTAACCGATTAAGTATTAAAACAATTGAGATAAAAAATAAGCTTAAGAAATTGAAAGTGATATATAGTGGATATAACTTGGAATAATTTCTTTATTTACATGCAGGGACGATAACTGACGGAGATGCTGCTGAATCTATCTAAAATTGGAGTTTCTAGGAAACGTGTACATCGTGCAGTGTTACTATGTGGATCTATTTTCATCGTTATCTTTATTTACATACTGACTAACCGGCCGAAATATACCGACAAGACTGTTATAGAAAGTGACAAGTGGTTAAAGAACCCGACAACCGGATGTAACGGCTATTTTACCGGATATGGACACGAGTTTGTCTGGCTCCGTTATGCCTCAGTTGATAAAACTAAAAAGACATTTTCAATTCCATGTGAAAATGAAAAACCAGTTTATGATTTTTTATTCGGAAAAGAAGGCACAATATTAAAGGAATGGATGAACAATTTACAAACGTCGAAGTACTCAGATGTATCGAAATTACAGAAGAACGCCGTGGACACAGCCGCCATTGCTGTGATGAGATATGAGGCTCATAATCTTTATCATACATTATGTGAATGGTATAATATATTCGTTATCTCAAAACTCCTAAGGTTAGATCCTAAACAACTGCATGTAATATTCATGGATGATAGACCACGTGGATTAATGGACGAGACATGGAGCACACTATTTGGCAATGTTAGCAGATACTCGGATATACCATCAGGCACTGTGTTCAAAAATCTGATTTGGAATATAATTGGCTATGAAAGTCCAATGAATTTTCATAACCTAAAAATTCTCCCATATGCTGTTGAATTTTATAGCTTTTTCATGAAGTCGTTTGGAGTAGACCAACTTAAAACATTAAACTGTAAACAGTTACAAATAACCATAATTTGGCGGAAGGATTACATGACACACCCAGAAAGATTGAAAGAAACAGGTGGTTTAGTCCATAGAAAATTTAAAAATGAAGATGAAATACTAAAAATAGTTCAAGAGTTATTTCAAGGTCATTCAATAAATACCGTAATTTTAGAAAAAATGAATATGAAAGAACAAATTAATTTATTTTCAAAAACTGATCTTCTGATTGGTATGCATGGTGCCGGAATGTCACATGTGATGTTTTTGCCACAACACGCGGCAGTGTTTGAAACTTTTCCTAACTACTGGGGTTTCTTAAAACATTTCAAAGCATTTTCCCGGTGGCGAGGCATCAAATACCTTGGCTGGCAAAATACTGATCCGAAAAACGAGTATCCGGATTACTATACTAGAATACCACCGGAAGTGGTACAGTCTCATTTAGAAAAGTTAAAGAATTATTTGTGTCCCCCTTGATCACACTGGTCCGCAAAAACGACAGCATTCCATATGAACGCTGCAGTTCCAGCTTTATAGATATAGTCGCTTGTTTCGGTTTGTACTGACGACTAATAACGCGCATGCGCCAGAAAAAAATATGGCGGATATGACAAACAGTATCTTTTAAAGGAAAAAGTCCTTATGGAAAGGAGTTGCCGATAACTGATATGAACTCAAAACATGATGTTGAATCTGTATTTTTGTAGTTTTGTTTGAGAGGCAATGTGTAACAATTCATGTTAAAAATTAGGAGCACGTGATCAAATGTGAAATTGTCTTATTATACTAAAGTTAATTGTCTTTCAAAAAAGGAATTCTGGAAAACAACTTAAATGTTTCGAATTATTATGTTTTTATTCATTTTTAATACATATATTTCCGTATAATCATTTGTGAAACTTTCAGATTATTGTCGCGTTGTTTTTGTCATTGTACTTTATATCATTAATTAAATCATTCATGAAATTAAAATCATCTGCGTTGATTATTCTACAAATAAACACAATGTCTTTAGACTTGAATAAAAAGTTAAAAACTAAAAATTAGGCTAAACGCAATGCAGTAATTCTTTTTAACGTTTAAGGAGAAAATGGTTCGGCTATTGGAATAGTTTGAACTGATACTGATCCTTATTTAGTTTATACTAATTTATTTTAGTTTGATTTTAGCTTACTGAAACACTCTGGAATCCGTTCCTGGAACGAACAAGTACTGAGCAATGACTGTAAAGTTTCTTGCTCACGGAAACAACGGCTTGCGCCTACCGGGGTTTGAACCCACGCAGCCAGAAATCCTTCGATTACCAAGAATTTCTATTCCGATGCGTTAACGCCTCACTTGCCCTAGTTCGCCGTGTTAAACAGGAAATGAAATTGTCCTGACTATCATCGTTCTTTATAAACGGTGTTCGCATCAAACAAGTTGCGGAGATAACGAAGTTGTGTTTATGATCGCGTAATGTAAACCATTAACAGTATCACATGTTACATGTATGTGAAAAAAATATTTTGGATAACTTAAAAACGCAAGAAGAAAAATCACAATGTTTTACAGATTATTTTTTTGAAACTTTTGTCTCTATCATCAGACCATGCACGTGAATCGTATTTCATTTTCTCCAAATCAATGTTATGGCGCCAAACGTGCACTGACCAACCTTTTTTAAAATCCAGTAAAAACTTTTAAAATAAATAACCGTAAATTTTAAAGGGGAAAAATTTAAAGAAAAACGAATATCTGCCAAAACTTTGATTTTATTAAAAACTAATGCCCACAAAGGGGACTGGGTAAATGGGGTTTAAAAGTAAAATAATTTACATTTTGCTATTTTTTTCCAAATTTAAATAATTTATTTCGATAAACATTAAAACTCGCATCTAAAAGGAAAATTTCTGTCAATATTCATCAGAATTTTACAGAATTCCATCCCTTGAATTTACCTGTAACATTTCAATTCATCAAAAGAGTGGGGCAGTCCTTGATATTTTAATCTCAATCTTTTGAGATATACATGTATATATTCAATTTTGCTAAACTTTAAAATGCAAAAGTGAGCAAAATCACTTAAAATCTTTATCAGTCTTTTTCACGAAAACAATTTAATAAAGACAGAGATTTATAATTATCTTATACCGTTTTTTACGTAGTGCTGAACTTCATATTACAATTTAATACCTAGTGTGCCATGACACTTCATTTCTCTCTTCCCCTCGGTACTGCAAGCCGTTGAGAAGACAGCGCATCGGCAGATGATTGAAGAACCAATGCTACGTGTAAGACGGCAAGTTCGCATGTTTTCTACAGCTCGACGTAACGTTTAAGACGGCACGACTTAGCTTGATGAAGGGGATGCCCATAAAAAGGGGCCCCGATCACAGATAAGAACCAGGGTGCTGACCCCCTAGAACGTTTTAGGGTTTTAAAGGGCAGGCCCTTTGTTTTGACATAAAGGGTTATCTTAAGGGCTACCTCCTTTCATTATTGTCTATTTCTGTACATTTGGGTTCTCTTTGAAAGCCGTACATGACTATTTTTTGGCTAAAAATTTATATTTTTGGGGCTAATATTTCCGTGGAAAAGCATGGTAAATTATCCCCCTCTTTTTTTTAAAAAATTTAACTTTTTAAGGGCCATACTCTGACATGCCCGGGGATCCGTACCGACAGCAAAAAGTTGCATATGCCCTTTTACGGGGGGATACCTTATTAAGCATAGACTACACTAGTCTGGATTACCTGCCCTTTGTTCTATTTGTTTACAATAGAAGCTGGGAACCAGACTAAGACTACACATACATATGCCATGACACTTATTAATATTTTATAGTCAAGCAAGACGGTAAGGGGAAGGGTGGCCTAGTGGTTAAGGTGCCTGGTGTCTCAGGTCTCGACACTAACTTTTTCAGCAGGTTGTATGCCGGACCACTGGATCCAAAATTCAGGTGGTCCTTTCTGAACACAGGTGGTCCATTTTTTTTTACTCATTTGTTTTTAAGGAATCTTCAGATTTAGAAGAACTACACTTAAAATTGGTGACAGAGACATACATGTATTTATTATTAGATTTATAACAACTGAAGAAAACATGTATATTTTCTATTTCAATCTTAGATCAGATAGTAAGTCATTGTAATCCTATTTAGTATTTATTATCTCATTGAAAAATACATGACATAATTAAGTGACTTCTTCCGCAACTCAAGTAAGGAATAGTGAAACCATTTAATTGTGAATGACTTATTTCCTTACTGTTATTCAAATACTCATTGCTGTTTCCTGGTAAGAATAATAATTGCTTTTTATAGATTAAAGTTTTTAATTAAACTATTAAGTTATTATATTCTTGTCTTTGAAACAATGAAATATGAATGATAAACAGAAAAATTCCTACATTATAATTGAGCTTATCTTCCTCACAGATTTATTATGCATGCTTGTTTGTTGAAATTTATTTATTTTTGACAAAGTATTTATAACCTTTTAAAGTGCTTTAAATAAGAAAAAAATGGATCTCTGATCGTTTAAAAAAGTAGCCAAAGATGACTAGATATTTAATTTTTCCTTTGCCTTTGTTTGCACCATTATTCATGTGTTTATCCGATATCCCATAGTGATACAATGTTATAAATTCAATGCAGTACTAGAGACATTTGAATGAATTTTATACTTTAATTATTAAAATAATTTTCTACTTTTTTAACTACACTGTTAGCGAGTTAATAAAAGGTTATGGATGTCCTAAGATCTTTTTGAACTAATGAGATGAATGAACATATACCTGTACATCGGAGAAATGGTTTTAAACAACAATTATAGAACACGATTTTCGACCAAATAACCATTCTCCCAGATGAGCCCTCACCATTTGGAAAATTCAAGTGGTCTAACGGACCAGTTGCCTGTAAAATTAGGTGGTCCTTGCCAAAATCAGGTGGTCTCGGACCAATGGACCACCGCTAATGTCGAGGCCTGCTGTCTGTTTCTCAACCCAGGGATCATGGGTTCGAGTCGTAATCGAGTCACGACCATGACACCAATACTGGTTTGTTCCAGGAAACGGGCTCGAAAGTGATTAATATAAGTTGCAAGAACTTGTTTCATAATCGAGCTTAAATAAATAAGCTTGTACTGGTATTGTTCTTTGTCCAGTTGTTAATTTACAGAAAATATCTGGAATTGGCTATTTTTTCTGTCGATTCCGACATTTGTGATTTGACTACGTGTAAATCAGGCTACCGTGCAGACATGTAAATAAACCAATTTTAATGACATGAACCACTTTATTGGTTTTAAAACATTTTGATGATCGTGTAAGTTACATTACATGGATAGCTAGCGGGTGGGGCAACTTTTCCTCTCATAAGACAGGTTATTCTATGGCGAAGTGAAAATGCTAAAGATGGTTACGTCAAAAATTGTCATAAAGAGAGATTCAGTGTAGCTCAAAATTTAGCTTCATAATATCGTATAGTTTGATAATATTCAAACGGAAATTTATAGGTCCAACCTGTTCTTTTAATATACATCTAAATATACAACATACAAATGGAAATGAATTATGTTTTGTTATGTTTGTTATGTTATCATTGAAAATGATTTAGGAAGGTTGAATGAATATCATTTATTTTGAAATTGTCTCGAGAGCTGCAAGAAAATGTTGATGTTGTTTATAGTTCTGTTATAAATGGAATATCTTAATTGTATGTCATACAAAACAAAATTATGTAATAATAAATATATATAAATATGTCTTTTATGAGATTCTCTTTGTTTATGTCGGCATTTTCCGGATATAATTACTTACTATGTACACAAATGTATAAACAACAGTTACAAACAACAGCCGAATGTCCATAAATAAAAATATGGCCACAATGTACATGTATATCATATAACTAAAAGGAGTGTGCGTGTAATGACAGTTTGTTCAGTTGATAGCAACAATCACAATGCAGACGACAGTGAACGCTAATATAACTAACACGTGACAAGCAAGTATGATTTTCTTCAGAAGACTTCCACGAGGGTCTTTCAAACTTCCGTCTCTGTAGTAGCGCCGGCCTGTAGGGAAACAATATTTTAATAACATAGTATATTTATCAAAAAGTACATGTATTTCATAAACCATCATAAAATTGTATTGAATAATTAACATGCTTGTAAAAGTATGACTAAAACATTTTTACTGACTTAGTGTAACTGTATAGTAACAAGTAAATAGTATTGACTGTTACATAAACCTTTGACAGCTTGGGAAGACTTCTGTGACATACATGTATATATATAGTTTCGGATATTTAATGTTTCAAATCATATTTAATGGTACACTGCCGTTTGTAATTACTTCTGGTAGTTTGGACAAGTTTCATAAAATAATTTGTCAAAGTTGTGTATAACAGTGTAGCAATCGAAAAACACAATGGGTCTAAATAATAAATTTAAATTCTGCATTAAAGTTTTGCTATAATTGATAACTTTTACTTTGTTAAGGCTTTTACCAATAACAACATGTGTTATACAACAGTAATTTCAATGAGAATTTCTCAAGGGAACTGAATTAAACCACTTACTGTTATCAGCAATGCAACAATCCAAGAGTTCGAGGATCAACTCTATTATCATTTGGTATGCCACCCAAGCCACCAGCACCCAGACACAGTAAAATGGCACGGACGCCCTTCCGAGTGTAACTCCCAGAATCAAAGCCAAACCTATACATATTGTTACAGTCAGATGTAGAGATGTAATGGGTGAAAAACACAAGTCGTTTAGAATTCCACACAGGCAAACGTTATTGGAAGCAATTCTCTATTTACATAAACAATTATACTCGTCCTATTAGTCTTTATCACATCAATTGTTTAGAAAAGAACGACAACTCGCCCGGGACTACAGGGAATTAAATTTATTTGTCAGATATAATATTTTTAAAAACTTAAAACTATCTTATTAGATTACATATGAGCCTCGTCATGACAAAAAATACATAGGGTGTTTGCGACCAGCATGGATCCAGACCAGCCTGCGCATCCGCGCAGTCTGATCAGGATCCATGCTGTTCGCTATCAGTTTCTCTACTTGTTATAGAGTTTGTAAGCGAACAGCATGGATCCTGATCGGATTGCGCGGATGCGCAGGCTGGCCTGGATCCATGCTGGTCGCAAACCCATTATGTTGGATTTGTCGTGACGTGGCTCATATAGTTCTTTAAAGGAACATACGCCTTAGGAATTATTTGCTTTAGAGCATGTTATATGCTCACCACCTGAAGAAAGTAGAGGTGAATGTGAAATTATTTGTTATAATTGTAGCAAAATGTAAACAAAGTAATATTTTGACTTCCATACAAAATATTGAATCACTATAACTGTACTACTTGCAACAGAAGCAAAATATGGTTAAGGTATTGGCCTTTAAGTCTTAAAAACCTAAAAAGTCCTATTTTTCTTGCCAAACTAATCTAAATTGGTATCGGTTCATTATCAGATCAGTGGAGTATTTTTGTAAATGTCTTTAGAGAAAATGATCCTTATGAATTGTGATAGAAACAAAGGTTCCATACTATTCTCACATACCTGAAAGTATTTGAGCCACAGTTCCAACAAACCAATGAGCCCAACTAAATATGTAACGGCGCTTTGCATCTGGATGCGGACGAAACAGTGCCATGATTGGCTGAAAAATTAGAGCACGTCAACACAATAAACTGTTTAAATGCAATGTGTGTTTATATATAGACATTTTCCCAAATTTAATCCATGCTTATAAACTATTGGGAATGAATTCCGTGTAAAACAAACAAACGCATAAAATCTTATATGCGAGTCAATAAGTAAAATGTACATTAGTGAACTTATAATACTGCATATTTGTAGCGATAATCGTGACATTAACATAAAAATATATACTTACATTGAGGACAACGCAGAATGTGACGATGACTCCGAGGTAAGGATGTGCTCTTTGCCACTTTGTTGCTCCAGCAAGCTGTAATATAGACATTCATTAATTGATTAATTAATTAATGACCGTGCACTAATAATAATAATGACAGAGCCGTGCCAACAGTAAGGACAGCTCACCATACTGTCTAACTTAATATTGTTGTGATTCATTAAACATTTATAAATGAAATTAGGAATAAAGGACTGTCATTCAGAGGTGTGTAAGCAGTATATTTGATAATGTCTTGTGATTAAAGTTAATTATAAATGTATACCAAGTCAAAATGTACTATTCTATGTGTAAAAACTGTTGTTAATATCTATCGTTATTATGATTTTCTCGCTAATTCAAGGAACAAAATACCTTACTGTTCACTAACTATTGCTTTAAAACTGAATACACGAGAGATATAAACAATTTAATATAGAATACAACTTTATCAACGTTAAAAATATGCATTTGAGATAGTAGGTCATTCCATACAACATTGTTTAATTGTAATACATTACATCAGACCAATCTTTGACGTCAACAAAGATGATAATAAAACCAGCAGAACACGTCACAAATGCCGAAATCATGCATATCCTGTGGAACTGAAATACAAATGGACAGCTAATTCTAATAGGGTCTAAAATAACAAAATACAAATGAATAACACAGCACGATTCGATCTTATAATAACAAACGTAAAACACCGCATGATCGGGGATTGAATTAACAAAGTAAAAATAGGTTAACGTTAACACTTTATGATTGGTGCTTAAATAAACAAAATACAAATGAATAACATATAGTACTTTGGAGTCTTAAAACAACGAAATACAAATGGACACCGCAGTACGATCGAATCTTAAAATAGCAAAATGCAAATGGATGATACCGTAATTACCACAGTATGATCGAGTCTTGAAATAACGAAATACAAATGGATACTGTATACAGAAAAAGGCATGTTCTTACCGTGAACCAAACTTTCTCGCTACAAACTTGACTGTTTGGCCACATTGGTTTGTAATGTCTGGATAAAACAATTCCAATACTGGCACAAAATATCCACGCAATCATCATTAAAGAACCTACAACAAATTACCATGAGTTACCATGAGTTATCTCCCTTGGTGTTATATATTGAAATAAGTAAGGTTTCTTTAAGAAAAGAATATCGCCATAAATATCAGATGTTAAACTAGAACTGCCACTATCATGGCGTGAATACCCCCGCATACCACTTTGTCAGAATCAACAGTGGCCATTTAGAGCTCAAGGACAACCTCCCTGCCAAATCTGAGGTTACTAAGCCAGTGCATTGCTAAGTTATGTATTCTACATGCTTCAAATGTGAAAATGTCAAAATCAATACATTGCGGACAGGACATTCTTAAGCAATTGAGAAGAAAAGCTTTTTTTTGGTCAAGGTCCCCTGTGACCTTGACCTTTGACCCAGTGACCTCAAAATCAATAGGGGTCACCTTATAGTCATGATCAACATCCATGCCAAAATATGAAGACTGTGGGTCAAAGAAATCTTAAGTTAATGGGTGGACAAACTTTTTGAAGTCAAAGTCCCTATGACCTTGACCTTTGATCCAGTGACCTCAAAATCAAAAAAGGGGTCATCTTCTAATCATGATCAACATCCATGCCAAATATAAGACTGTGGGTCAAAGAATCTAAAGTTATTGGGCAGACAAAACTTTTTGAAGTCAAAGTCCCTGTGACTTTGACCTATGACCTGGTGACCCTCAAAATCAATAGGGGTCATCTACTAATCATGACTAAACCTCCATGCCAAATATGAAGACTGTGGGTCAAAGGAATCTAAAGTTATAGGGCGGACAAGCTTTTTGAAGTCAAGGCCCCTGTGACCTTGACCTTTGACCTGGTGACCTCAAAATCAATAGGGGTCATCTACTAATCATGACTAACCTCCATGCCAAATATGAAGACTAAGGGTCAAAGGAATCTTAAGTTATTGGGCGGACAAGAAAAAACCGACGGACGGCCGGACGGACGGACAAGCTGATTCCAGTATATCCCCCTTACAACTTTGTTGTGCGGGGTATAATAAGCACGGTCATCTTGTGGAATGGCATATATACCGTGAAGAACCGAAGCAAGCACAAAATAACAATGTAATTTTAAATCGTGGACAAATAACTACTTGTGTGCGTAGCATTTTTATTGCGATTAAAATCATGCAAGATTTTCCCGCTTTTTTGAAACAGTCTGATGTTGCTGAGTTTTCTTATGTACTCGTCGTCCATAACAATATGCAGTATTATGAATTCGTTATATAAATACTGACGGGATATACGGGAGAATATAGTATTCCTGACATAAATAAAATTAATAATGTATACAACAAGGTGACGACATTATTCGGAGAGGGAAAGCTTTGGTGATATTATTTCTCACCATGAAGTTTGACCATCACAGCCTTGGCTGTTCCAGATAGATCGTCTGTTGATTGAAGATCAGCCTTCTCTGGAGATATAGCCGGGAGTGTATCTACTCTGTGCTGGGACTTGAACCCTGCCAGAAAAAAAAGACAAACAAAACCCCCAAATTGGTATAATAACACAGTCGACAAATAATTGCTCCAGACAAAGATTCTGTTGAAAACTTTTTTTAAACTTTTCTCTTAAATATTTATTACTATTCTTCAATAAGTGATATTTCGGTAAGTAAATTGCTTCTTTACTGACACTAACAAATTTTGACAAAACAAATTAGCTCATAAACGATACGCATTAGGATCTGACGGGCACCAATAGGAGATCACCTTCTGTGACCTTCAATGAAGGCAAAACAAATAGGTGGCAATGAGATCTACATGCAAGAAATAACTTTGGTATCTTGAGTCAGATAATGAGATTGTACTCTAGTAAACCTTTAACTGTAGAGATTTAGTTCAATCTAAAACACTCAAATGGCCATTTCTTCAGCTACAAGCTGTACAACGCATATGACATTTGGTGGTATTTCTTTCACAGATATCTTTTTACAAATTGTTTACCAGTACGTTTTTGTATTCAATACAGAAATGATGAAAGTAAAAAATGGCACTTGATTCTGGTATTCTCTACGCGGTATCGAGGTGGCCTTTATTTTTAGCCCGTGTTTGGACACATTTAGCGAGACAGTCGGAAAGAATGCTATATGGCCAAGCTGATAACATGCTAAGAACTTTTATACAGATACCTTGGAACTGCTGTATAAAATCTGTATAGTTTGATATTAGGAAACGCATTGTGTTTGGCTCTGAACTGACTATTCCCCATTTTATGTCTACAGGTTTGCTATAAAGTAAAAATCGCCTTTACTGAAAAAAAAACAACCAAAAACAAAACATTCTTGGAACTTAAATTTAGAAAATTTGAAAAACCATACCATTGGAAGCTTTGCCATTGGCGACCAGTAAATACCAATCAGTGTCAAGATTGAAGATTTGACTGTTGGAGGAAGTTTTAGTCTGGGTGTACGAGCACGTGAGGACACCATCGGTAACGCTCCCCTGAGCATTAGTCAAACCAGTAGATTTCTGAAAGAATCAGATTTTCAAAATACGCAAAAATGTACCACAATATAATTAGTAACAAATTGAATTTATAATATGTACGAACCTCGCTCTCTGAAATAAATAGACATACAATTCTAGTGTTATTTGCGTCGGTGGTTTGTAATAAATACAGCTCTATGTATGTCACGGTTCAGAACTGTTCACTATTTAGGGGAGAAGATGTGTAACCGGCGGATAGCTCAGTCGGTAGAGCCGCGGAACGGTATTCCGAGGGTCCCGGGTTCGAGTCCCGGTCAGGCTGCACACTTTTCTCACCCTGTGACATTTGGCGCCCAACGGGGGACCGTGACTGCCTCTAGCTCAGAGTTCAATTAGCATTGCTCTGTAGCTTTGTGAAATTCGAGGACGAATTTCAATATTGTGGTGAAGTATGTCACGGTTCAGAACTGTTCACTATTTAGGGGAGAAGATGTGTAAGCGGCCGGATAGCTCAGTCGGTAGAGCCGCGGAACGGTATTCCGAAGGTCCCGGGTTCGAGTCCCGGTCAGGCTGCACATTTTTCTCACCCTGTGACATTTAAATGACCTTCGGAATACCGTTCCGCGGCTCTACCGACTGAGCTATCCGGCCGCTTACACATCTTCTCCCCTAAATAGTGAACAGTTCTGAACCGTGACATGTATATATTACATTTTTCTATAAAACCAAATGAAATTTTCTACGACTAAGTATTACCTAGGACAGTTATCTTCTGTCCCAGGTATTACACTTGGTGGGCAAAATATGAAAATTCGCATAGATAGGAACCGCTTGCATTAATAAAATTGTTTTAGCATATTAACTCATTTTGGCTCATTTTATAACTCTAAAGAATGGTGACGGACTACTTTATTTTAGTTTTGCAGAGAAATATTTTCTGTTACTTACTTCAGCTAAAGGTGAGTTAAATTTCCCTGGATTGTACGATTTTGATACAGCCACATTACCGCCATTCATCACACACTCTGTAACACTGTCAGACCCCTGTGGTTAAAAAGTAGTTCCATTTTACTTCTTCTTGATTATTCATTCGCAAGCCCATTAACATATACGTTTAAGGCGTTGACGGTATGATAGTTTTTAATACTTCCAGTATTCATTTTACATAAAAGACTCTTCACGCCAGCTTAATATCACAAAAAGATTTAAGATTTATTAATGTCGTATATACATTAAATATTTGAGTATTCATAATAATGTATCTATACATAAGTCAACATGATGCAGGATGTTGTTTTTTTATTTATGAAACGGTGAATGTTAAAGAAAAAAGACAAGTAATAAACAAACAATAAATGAAAACCATAAAAACCAATTCGGCAGAGATTAAAATAATCGGAGCACGTAATGTATCTTTATTTATCTACATATCTCCGCGAAATATTTAATCAAAGTTACAGAAGATATTATGATTTATATATGTTTTGCGTTCTTATGAAATGTAACCAAACCATTTGTTGATCGTCCGACAGTCCGAGCGCTATCCACTGGTCCGATCCGCCAGACTCTAATGTTAAAGAAAGCGTAAAGTCTATATTCCCGCCATTTTCTTTCCACGTGACAACAAACTTGCACGTGCCATCACAGTCAGAATAACAACCACGATCGCTACCGCATTCAGCTGGCTTATCCTATACAGTTTAAAGATAGAATAAATATCATTTTAACTTTCTTATTGTTTAACAAAAAATGTGACAAAATGAAAATAGTAAGATAAAAATAAATGTCATACCATATACCTTATAAATGATTGTATATTATGAATTCACGATCAGATAATTTCCTATCGTACTAAAGTCCACTGAGGTCAAAAAGCCCATAAATTTATTATTGGAAATTCTTACACATATCAAAAGGAGCATTTTAAATATACGGACAAATTTGCAAAGGATAATAAAGAAACATACTTTAAATTGAATTGATAATCGATTTTTTGTGTGCAATTCTTAGCCCCATTTGAGCGAAAAGCATTGAAACTATTTTAATTTTGTGACCATTTTTGCACAATAAAAATAACTATTTTGGAAAAAACGGGGTGAGGGAATTATCTGAAAATTTGCACACACAAGTTGTTGGTCCAGACCTTCATCAAATGGTATACAAATCTCGGAAAAATATTTCACGTTCCTTCATGTAAAAAAAACCCTCAATAGTTATTGGAGTCCCCTTAAGTAGAGTTATTACATTCCATAGCCCAAGTATCACCCATCAACATCAACTGAAGAAAACAAAATCTCTCATTCCGTTGCGAAAAGATTTGAGATGAGACATACAAGCACTTCGACTGGTAGTGAAAATTACACTTTTTCGTTTGTTTGTTTTTTATCTATTTTTTTTTGCTTTTTTTATGTTTTTGTTTTGTTTTTGTTTTTATTGCAGGAGATAACTTACAGAAGATAACTTACCAACGCTGCTTTTGTTACACAGGCAAACAAGTTCACTAATAAAACTGTTATCAGCACCCGCATCTTTACTGACCAAGAACTGAAAATGCATAAATAAATTAAATCTAAACATTTATATAACTTCGAGAAAAATAATATATACAAAGCACGGACATCGGATTGGTGGTTTTTTTTTCTGAGAATTGAATAATTCTCTTAAACATATGCGTATCAAAACTTCTGACTAATATTTTATGTCTCTTAAGATTTCAATAAAACATTTAAATATGATTTAACGATTGAAAACGAAGTATTTTTAACGATAAAGTTGTATAATACAATTAAACAGTACCTTTAGAACGTATTACGTTTGTGGTTCGCTACCCATGAAAGCAAGGTCGGAATGAAATAAGTAGTTAAAACATCACGATTTGAGATAATATGTTTTTACTTGGGTATTCGATTTATTTACAATTTAGTCGCCACTGGCATATAACCTATATTTATAAGCAGGTTCACAAAAATACATTTAAAAGTACGTCATGTTACTCAAATATCAATTATTTACAAAGCAGAAGTAACTTAATTGTTTTTCGTAAAACATTTTAGCACACTATCGTGAAAAATTACTTTCCTCAGCCAAAAAAACTTCCACATTCGGACGACTTGGACATGTTGTTGTTTTTTTTGTTTTTTTAATCAGTGAAACAAATTAAATATTTCGATTATCAATACCAAACACTTGCAATGAAAATTTTGTAATTCGACCCTCAGCAGATCTATTACGGTAACACCCGATAAATGCGTAATATGTGACGGAAGTTTATGCACTGGTTAACGCCCTTTTACAGAAATCTATGTACTTATAACAAATACAATTACAAATCCAGACAGTCCAGTGCCACCAAAATTTTACCCATACTCAAGATTCCTCTATACCATATCGACAATTTATCCCGACATATTAAAAGTATAAAGGAATAATGAACCAATTTCGAATTTGAATAAAATAACATGGTTTATACCTTTTTATATTTGCAATTTATCCGTACATTAAAGTTCTGCACTGCTTACGATTCCAGTTACATATATTTATATATCCTATCCTTAACACAGAGTTCCGGTTTATTGCAAGTACGAAAAAAATATTCAACCCATAAATAAATAATGTTTTGTAATATCGTGCTAAAAATCGATATCATAAATAACCAACTGGTTCCGCTTCAATTGACTGGGTGTAAATATCAGTACGGCATGACAAAAAATGTACTTTTTGAATAATTTCAATCGTGACATCACAAAGTTTAATATAACAGAGATGTATAGAAGTTTAAGTTTTACTTTGTTAACTTTCTGATTATTTTAGGACAAATGTTATGATTCAGTACATGATAGCACTAGTTGTAAACTCAAAAGGGAAATTGCATTGTTGCTTTAAAATTCATTTTTCTTTGTTTTTGTTTTGTTCAGTCTACGGTTACAGACGTTAACTTAAAATCAATTGTCACTTGCTTTAGTCGCGTCTGCTCCATGGGATTTGCATTCGTTCATTTGAGGAGACTATCAAGATAACTAGATGGTCGGTCGTTCTACTAGGGTGTCCGCTCATGCCTGGAAAAAATACACGACGGGCACCTGAAGTCTTCTTTCATCAGTAAACTTGGAACGTTGCTATGACATTTATTAGTTTAAGTGTGAGCAGGGTCTTTCAAATTTGAAAGACCTTAGTGTGAATTTAAAACCAAACTAACGTTATTTCGGGACTGCAGGCATCAAGTAAGCTTAGTGTAGAGGAAAAACAACCTGTATGTTCTATGCAGTCTTAATTCAATACCGTAAATCAACAAAATTATCTGTTGAATAAATTATCGAAAGTGTAATGTGCATTTAGGAAGGTGTAATGTGCATTTACGCACATAATTACATTTCTTCTCTTTTTGGTCATTGCTAAATTAACTTCTCGAACAAACGATATAGCGATTTGAGAATATTTTGCCTAAAAATCGTGAGAAATTTGCTGTTCCTTGAGATTTTTGCATTTGTTTACTATGATAACGCGGTTCTCTACATCAAAAGTAAACTAAATTACTGTTTACAAAGACTAAGTTGATAGTGACAGCAGCGACATGGTCGTGATACATAAATCGATTTGGTATCTTGTACTTTCTCAATCAAAGTTGGTGCGTTTTCCTAAATCATAAGTTGTAAGGGGTTGTTTTTTTGGATCATAAACATAAAGTTTATATGCATATGATTGATATAAACCCAGTGACTGTATAATCATGTTGAATTCATTGAACACCAGTACAAAAACAAGTAGATAACAGCTATCATTTAATATTATTTTATTGCTGTTTAAACAGCGTGTAAAATATTTCAGTACAGAAATTAAATGTTCCCTATTCATTAAGACAAACACTTGACATCAAGATAAAAATTGAATCACTAAAATTTTCAATTTTTCTTTAGGTAAGTCATATTAAAAGCTGGTTTAAGAGACACATATGCTTAAAAGTTTTTTTCACAAAGAGTAGATACAAAAATAAATACTGATAACAATATTTAACTTTTAAAATTTCATTCTAAATTCTTTTGGCACTAAAACAGTATGTTTAATTCTAACATATTCAATTGTCTAATAAAATAAACCAACTAAATGATTCATCCAATACTGATTTTCTAAGGTCAAAACAAACTATTCAGTTCCGACTTTCTGACTTAAAAACAGGCCATGAATATGTATTTCTTTCCAATTTTCTGAATCAAAACAGACTAGCCGATCCATCAAGATCTGACTTATCCGAGTTTAGTCTATCGTTTCTAGCAGAAGATTTTGGTTCTTTTTTCTTCAATTTCCCACTGGTAAATAAATCATTGTAATCCGAATCACTACCGTGTATAAGTCGATCAACAACGTTTCTTTTATCTGGTGCTTCACGTTTCCTCTTTTTCCATAATTTAGGATCGTCAAAACAGTCATAATTATCATCCTTTAATGTACTATCTTCAAGGTTCACTTCATCATCATCTATTTCCGCATTATCTTTCCTATATTCAGCTTTAACAGAGTTGTTACGTTTGTTTATGTCACGTTTAGTGATATCACCTTCTTCATATGATTTTTTATCTTGTTTTCTTTTATTACTGTTACAACTAAATATTTCATCAACTAGTTTAAAAGGATCATCATCATCTGAGGACAAGTGTTCATGTTTTTCTTCCTTTACTTTTCCAATTCTTTTAACTGGCGAATTTGTTTTAATGTTCTTAGATGGAGGAGGTTTTCTGGACCTGCTTGAAGAATATGTTCCATCAAATACATCATCTAACACTGAAGAAATGGAGAAATTTTTGGCACTGTTTCTTTTTTCTGCGACTTTTTTACGTTTCACTTGACCTTCATTTACAGAATCATCAAGATGTTCAACAGTCCTCCCTATTTCATCCAGTAAATCCTCAGTGTCAGCACTTTCTTCAACATCTGCATCTCTCTCTTGCTTATACCTTTCCTCCAACAAATTGTCAAAGTCTTCAAAATAGGTTTGTGGGACAGTTTCATGTACACCCTTTGATGAAATTTTACATTTTTTCACCAATTTACTATTCGGTGATCTATGAACCCTTTTTCTTGGAGACACTTTCCTGCCAATTTCAATACTGCTCTCAACTGTGTCACTGTTTGATCTAAGATTGTCAGATTTTTCATTTTTCTGACTTAGAGATTCACTGTCTGGTATTACTTCATCAAGAAAACTAACACCAGGACCAATCTTCTTGATTCTTGCACTCAATGGTGTGACCTTTGTATGCTTGGATTCCCTTTTCTTTTGTGCTGAAATTGAAAACATATCTTTCATTAAACTTTCTTAGTCATATCATTAGCACTTTAATTATTCTTTTCAATGCTAAGCTATGAAATTTTATTAATCCATCTCTCATGTATATAAGAAAAAAATACATGTTTGCCTGACTTTGTTAATGAGATATACTGATTTATTTTATTGCATAGAATAATGGTTTTTAAGGGGGGGCCCCCTTTTAAATAGTTGCTCTTGTGAAAATACTTTCCCGGGTAAATGCAAAATGAATCCCAAAATAATATTTTAAATTTCCATACATTAAAACTAAAACAAATTTAAACTGTAAACTTATTTTAAACTGCAAAAAATTTTTTTTACCTCTACTTATTTTGGTCATTATTTAAAAATAATGTTTTAGAAAAAAATTGTAACAAGGGGGGTCAAAAAAAAAAAAAGCCCCCTTTTGAAAAACAAAAAATTAGAATTTTCTAGGCCTTTTAAAAAGGGCCCTTTTATTTTTTTACAAAATGGGTACATTTTCCTTTTTTAAAATTTTTTTCTTTGGCAAAATAACTTCCCCTTTTTTGTCCCAAACCCCTTTAGATTTTTATGTGTTTTTTATTTTTAAAAATTTTGGAAAATCCTGGGAAAGGGTTTTGGGTTCCCTTGGGTTTTTAAAAGCTGTTTTAACATATCTATTTTTCTTCCCCCAGATTTTGGGGGCCCAAAAACCAGTTCTGCAAAAATTTCCCGAGGAAAAAACCAAAATATTTAGATGCTTAGAACAACTCCTTCCCAAAAATTTTTTTCCTTTCCCCAACAAAAAAAATAAAAAAAAAATTTTTAAATTTTTAGCTTTTTTTCAATTGTTTTTTTTTTTCTTTTTGAATTTCGAGAATTATTTCAACAATGTATCAAATCTACCTTAAAAAAGTTCAATTAATAAGTACAACTTCAGTGAAAATACTTGATATAACATTTAGTATGTTATAAAATAAAAGAGCTTCAATCATTAGTAAGAGATTTAAAGTGTCCTGCCCAATAGAAAATAATTGAAACCTAACCCTATACACATAAAAAGGCAAAGAAAAATACTTACAGTCTAAAAGCCTTTGGAGTCTGACCAATCAAAAACTTTGTATTTCCAATCATCACTGATCGTGCAGTATTGTGATCTTCTACAGGAGCACTTTGACCACGCCTCTTTTTCTGAGGTTGAGGCTCTTCCTCTTCACTTGACTATAACAGAAAAATTCTTTTACAAAATTGAGCCGCGTCACGACAAAACCAACGTTATGCGATTGCGACCAGCATGGATCCAGACCAGCCTGCGCTTTCGCACAGTCTGATCAGGATCCATGCTGTTCGCTATCAGTTTCTCTACTTGTAATAGGGTTGGTAAGCCAACAGCAAGGATCGCAGATGCGCACGCTGGTCTGGATCCATGCTGGTCGCAAACCCATTATGTTAGTTTTGTCATGGCATGGCTCAAATATTACCCAAAGTACATGACTGGTGTCATATCCTTGGTCCATAATCAACAGTAGAAGCTGCATTTAGTGCCTTAATGGGCAGATGGACCCTCATTGAGCATTGATCTCAGTCACCCTCATTAAGCCTAGGTCTCAGTCAGTCACATATTGCCCATCCATACATTTGATAATGAATTACTTGGACAAAACAGTTGTGCGACAACATTCAATCATAACAGACAGTTAAAAATTTACCATTAAGTGATTTAAAATATGTTAAGCAAATATAATCAATTTTCAGAATAATGAATACAAACATATTTCAAATCTGTATTTACTTTTAAAGGTAACAAAATATGTGATTGCAGCAACTACCTCTGACATGGGTTCACATTGAGCAGCAAGGTCCTGAGAGTTTTTGTTAAACTCGTACACGTCAGATATCGCACACCTAGACATATGATCCTCAGCTCGACTTCCTCCAACTACCTTCACATTCTTGTGTATATGTACAACACCACAGTTATCTACAACCATTCAAGTAAAAGTGTCAAATTTTGTTAAAATCATAGGGATTTAGCCTTGTAGTTGGTAAAACTTAGTCAAAATGACCCTCAGGATTTCATGGCTAGTGAACAACCTGAACTGTATTAATGTTAAGTAAGCTGAGTTCCTATTAAATCCTAATGTTCAAAATCTCCTTTGTTACGGTATGCTTATTTGCACTAAAATATTGACATTTTCCTTATTTTCTATTTTATATTAGAGCACCATTATCAGGTGTTTTGGATAGCAACATCTGAATTATCAACAAACTCATTTTTATCATTTTACAAAAAATACAAAATTCTCAATGCATCCCAACACTTTTTATCAGTTGCATTAATGGTATTTACAATTTTTTGAAAAGATAATGACAACAACTTGATTTTTTATGTTTTCTTTTGTTTGACTTCACGTCACATCAACACTGTAATGGTCACATGGCTAGTGATGGAAGAAGACCCTTGGTGTCCTTTCATGCATTATTGATTTTTTATATCATTGACATTTAAATCTCACATATAACATAGATTTCTACACCTCAATTAAAGAAGAAACTTACCAAACACATCAGCTACATCAGCAAATGTTCCAGCTAGTGTCTGGTCATATTGTAACACATTCCCATCATCATCATTATCTCTCATAGTAGCAGTTCTAGAACGTTTACCATTTGCCTTCAATGGAGCTTTCCCTGTTCTACTCTCTGATGGTTTTACCTTCCCTTTTGAAGACACCTGAAACCTAACTCTAGGTTTTTCCTTATTCCTGTTATCCATTCCTTGATCCATTTCTTGAACGTCTGACACCTCAGGGTTCTTGAAACTTTTCTTTTTTTTCTCAATCTTACTATTTCCACACCCCATGGCTCTTGATGTATTATCAGTCAACTCTAAGGAATTGATCCCTTCTAGGTTGTTCCGGTGTTCTTCTATATCTGATTCTAAAAATATCATTTAGCCAGTAAAAAATAAAAGTGTTAATGGAAGTTGGAAAATATAATTGAACCATAATTAATACATAATGGCCTTCATATCAAATAAGAATTATTAAAATTTAATAAAAATGTAAATTTAATAAAGTAAATAAACCATGATCTTAAAAGTATGTTAAACAATCAAATGATTAATCTATTTATAATTTCAAGTCAGAAACAATCAAGAACATTTGTATGAATAACATAAACAGAACCAAACATACAACATTGCTTCCTGTTAAAGGGATACTCAGGCAAATTAATAAAAAAAAAAAATCAAAGTTATCTTATGTACTCAAATCACACTAAAATGATATTTGTAAAAGTCCCATCATGAATTTCTGTATAAATTCTACATATTTTGGATTTGAAGCGTAAATATATCTATAAATGTTGAACGAAATTTAGACGCCGACAGAATCACTGAGTATTTTTAAAACTAGCCATGTGACTAACAAACCCTGGAAGTTAAAAAAACAGATATTGTGCGTATTGTATAATTGAAACAAACCTAAATCATTCCTTTGACATGTTCTTTAACGTTTACAGAGCTCACTGTGACAACTATTGTGAAATATTAAAGCTCTAACATTACCCAAATGAAGAAATGAACATTTTGCCTGTGTCTCCCTTTAATTCTTTACCTATCATACTACACATTACTAATCATAACAGCTAAAGCAATATAAAATATCAGTAGCCTACCATCAGAGGCAGAGAAAAACTGAGCAAATATATCCTCTGACTCGGAGGCTGGTGAGGGAAGTGAGGGTGAGGTATTTCCCTCGGCAACCAACTCCTCGTAATCCTCATCTTCCTCGACACGAACCACCGGAGGTACATACTGTGCTGTCTCGAATCCTTCCAGGGCAGATTCAACTCTCTCATTTCTCTGTAAACATAATATATTAATACCTTTAAAACTCACAGATTAATCTTACAATAATTTTCAAAATCTCAAGCATTTTTAAAAAGGAAATACATATTACTATTCAAGTCTTTTCTTCTTGGCAATTATGATACAATGTCAGGCTGGCTATTAGGGTCATGTGATGCCTGCAAGCAGTACTTGAGCTAGAGGAAGAGATCCGTGCATTATTTAATATTTCAATAGAATAGACAAATATTATTATAGGGATAAGGGCAACAACTTATCATAAGATTATGATTTTACATTAAAATGGTAGATTTCAGAAAGTAAATTGATAGTGAATTGCAATGTAAAGAATAAACTAGCAGAAAATTTATATTAATTTGGAGATAAAACAAGAGCTTTCAAACAGGCAGCATGCTCCACTATTCAGTACTTGATAGTTGCAATTATATCTATAAAGGAATTTTGTCTTTCGTTTTCAGATAGGGAAAAAAATTCTAAATAAAAGCACATGATATTAAAGAGACAGTTTCACAGTAAATGACCTGCAATTTACAGTTTATGAAGTATACAAATAACAATTAAAAGATTCTTCAATATATCCACCAAAAAAAACAGATCAACTGCACTCTGTACTTATGTCAACATACCTTAATTATGTCTCTAGTGATACAGGATTCACCAATTTCAAGTAACAAACCAAATTTTTACACCGAATATTCTCACCCCTTTTGGTAGGATTTCCCTTTTTTACAGCACTCCTAGAAATTCCTTGGATTTTCATCTTCTTCAGTTTACATTCAGTAATTGCTGCAATAACAATGGAATTAAGTATGAATATTATATCTAAAATTTTCATTTCAAAGACAAATGTATCATAAATACTAGAGAGGGCAGGCCAATAAGAAATATCAACATTTAGTAGAATACGAAGCATGGCAACTAGCTAATTGAATGGTATTGATCAAACGTGCAAGTGTCAGTTAACAAAATTCGTTAGATACAGTACATTATTCACAGGGTATTTTATGTATACTAGACACTTGTGGTCATTGAAAAATTTCAAATAATAAAAGATAAGTTGTCTTTTTTTATATAACCAATTCTTAAACATGGATATAATATACCCATCCTTACACTTATAAAGGCTAAAATAAACTTTTTTAATTGATAAACCAAGGTAACGTAACCATTAAACTAAGACACGGTATCTAACTTTACAGTAACAAAATAAATATTTCATGCAGAATAAACTTTAAATTCTTATACTTTACTACTCTTTTTTGTTAAGTCTAAATTTAACCAATTTTATTTAGACCATTGCAACATTCTAGACTACATTTTGGATAAGGATGCAATGCACAACTCTGTTTAAAGTTAGATTTCAAGTCAGACTGACTGTAAAGGTCATTTCTGCAACTTTCCAGCTTTCTTGGCAGAGGAATACATCAGGTGCCTCTTCGTGAATTATTTCAGGCATGAACGAGCATCTGAGGATGTGCATGCTGACTGGACTCTTAAAATGTGACACCAGCCTAACTTATAACAACAAGGATCAAGGGGTTAAATGTTTTACCTGTTTAGTATATTTGTCTAGGTACATTTCTCTTCTTTGGTTACCCAGTTGATATTCAGTCTTAATAAACCTGTACATCACGTCTCTGTTGCCCTATACGAGGTTAATGCCCTAGAATTGTAAAAATAAACCCGGCCTGTATTAAGATTGCAGGGACTGTCAGCACATCTGTGTCAACTGGATTACGGTCTGCACTTGCTTTGCTATGCGTCAGAAACATATAACAAAATTTTCAATACTGATGGAATGAAAACAGTTTTTGTCGAGATTGAAAGACAATTCCAGAATGGGTTAATGGTTAATAACAAACTTCTTTGTATAGTAACCCCAATGCCTCAACAACAGAAAATACTTAATTATCACCTGTCTTTGTGCCTGGTAGGTCAATTGTTGGGGTTCCAGTTTAGGGTCAAATATAACAACCTTGTTAGGCTCCCAGGTAAGGTTTCAAAACCCCCAAACCTCCAGCCCTGAAAAATTTTAAAAAATTTCCCCAACCCAAAAAAAAAAAACAAAAAGAAAAAAAAAAACAAAAAAATAAAAAAAAAATAAACACCAATTTTTCAAATTCTTTAATTCCAGTACTCAAAACATTTCATTCACTTAAGATGACTGATTCATAAAAAAAGCTTATAATGGGAAGAAACAACTTATAATGGAAAAAAATAAGGTGAAAGATGCCATACTAGCTCAAAGATGGGTGCAGGTCTAACAAGACTATTCATTGATTGCTGCAGACACAGAATTTAACTTTAAATCCAATCTACCACAGAACATGTCTATCATGCAAACATTCTACAGAATTCGACCCTGAATAAGGCATCTTGATAGTATTTGTTGATTTTTATAACAATTCTACTTTTACCTCAAATGTAATTTTACTAAACGTGGTGGCTTCATCGCAAGTGATTCATATAAATATACCTGTGAACTTACTTAGTTGAGATAAGACATATAAAGATATTAGGATCCATGTTAAACTCTCGCACCACAATCATTCTCTTCTTAGCTGACACTGATCCATCAATTCTTCTAAATTCATAACCTGTACTCATCAAATGTTGTTCAATTATGTCTAATACCTGATTAATACAACACATGTATACTTAAATACACTTAATCACAAATGGATTGAGGAAATTTTTTAAAATATAAACTTTATATTATAAAGTAGCATGGGACGCCATATTATCGGCGTACTTAACTTTTCCTATATTTCTGTATTGAATTTCATTGGTGAATTTAAAAATCAATATTCTGCTTAAAGCAGTACAAATTCAGCTAATCATTATATTTTTTATTGAATGAGGGCAAAGATTTTTAACTTCAACGTATGCATGACCACACATAACAAAATACTGAGAGTACGTCTGTAAAAGAGCTGCGCCGATAATACAGAGTTAGAGTATAATATGATAAAAAGCTCACACACCAACACAGTTTATCAAAACATGTTTTACTTTAATAAGCTTCATCAGTTGATATAAAGTGGTAACAGTTGGTTTATGCAACTTCTTAAATATTATATGCAAAAATTATATAAATTTATATTGAAAAATTGAAATGTACTTGCTCTTTCTTCAAAAAAATCTTATTCAACTGGTAAATAAACTTTTATGTCCATGTAATCAAGAAAATAAACTTTATAATGGTTCTAACATTCTACATGCTGGAAATGTTGTGTTTTTTTGTTGTTTTTTTTCTCATTTAAGGCATTGCCTTTTTCTTACAGTTTCTTTTTTCTGACAATACAAAAATAATTGTTAGCACAACATCTGATAAAGTTAGGTGGTGGTGTTTTCAAATGTAAATGGGAAATTGATTTGATCAATGAAGAATATGTAGCATTATACTTCTAAATTACTAAATCATTTTAAACAGAGCATGTGAACTTAGTCAAACAGAACATTAGAAATACCTGAGTTGAGTAGGAAAAAACGAGAGCTTTAGAATGTTCTTTATAAAACACTTTCAACAATCCCTGCAGTATCTGAAATAACAAAGTTTACATTTTATTCTAAAATATATCATTTATTAATGAATACAAATGAGGAATTTAAGTAACAATCCTACATTGACAAAAACATATGCTCATAAAAAAAATCACACCACTAAAATTGTACAATGGTTTTGCCCTGGATTAAATTTTGTTAAAAAGTTTTAATACCTAAAAGCTAATAATCAGCAGCAAACAGTATAGACATTGGTCACGTTACATATATCTTATATTTTTGTTTGTTATTATTTTGTTTAGTTAACGGCGCATCAACACAGTTTAGGTCATATGATGCCAAAACAGGAAAGATGATTTGGCTAACCTCAAGTGTTACAAACTTAAAGCAACACAAGAGGTCAAAACCACCTAACCTGCTGGAGCTAAGAGATGCATAAACTCAAGTTATTCAAACCCATACAGTCGCCTCTTACAATCGCGTAGGAATAAACCATTAAAGGCAATGGGCAAGACTTAAACTAGGCGTCTAGCTTATGTCAACACTAGGAATGAGTAGGATAACCAAATTATTCCATAAATATCAAGTTAAAACTATAACACCAAAGTCACCTTCATTTTGCCACAATATTTTGGATCAGAAAGTGTCTTAAAAGATGCTTCTTTAGTTTGTGCGACAAATTCTGGATGTTCCTTCAAGGCAGCCTTACAGATTTTACGTGCCGTCGTAGCCTGTCTCTCACTGGTTTTCTGTGTCGGAATGAGCAATGCCACATGGTTGGATGTCTTCAGTAGTAAATGCATAAATGTGAAACGTAATGATCTGATTGACTGACCTTCAGGGGTTTTCTGAAGAAATGATAGAAAATCAACATCTGTTCTATTTTGTTCATATGCAGATTTTTTAACAAATTATAGCTTTTCATTAATAACTAACAGAAAAAGATTCCATTGTGACATTTTTTGTCGCTATCTCAGGACAAGGGTCATCACCACGTATTACATAATCCATACTGCGATAAGCCTCCAGTAGCCAGCAAAATAGTCTTTACACATAAAATACAATATAATATATTTACCTGTTTACAACATTTACTCTGAGGTTCGCCGCTATCACACGAGCAAGGGTCATCACCGTGTATAACATAATCCATCCCAGGCTGCTCCAGTATTGTACGATATATACTGACTTGTAACTGACTTAGTTTACAGAACACAACACTGTCATCTATCAATAATATACATGTTTCATCTCATTTCTCAATCTTTATGCAGTATAAAAGGGACTTCACTAAGATCCAATAGCCTTAAATCATGAAATTTGAAACCTTTCATAAACCAACTGATCCACTTAAAATTGGATACTTAGCAATAGATAATATAAATAATTAATAATTCAATTTTTAATGTAACTTTTTGGGCTAATTTGGGTGAAAATTGATGCAGCGCTTTTCATTTTTGGGTCAATTTGCACAAAAAAATTGATTATCCCTGGTAATCGGAGTGAACAAATGATCTGAAATGTTGAACACCAGTTACTGATCTAGGTCTACATTCAGTTATACAAGAATCATGAAACTATATTTTCGATCCCTTCATGTCAAAAAATCTTAGTGCAGTCCCTTTAAGATCACAACTGTAAACTGTGATCATTCAATATGAAGCTAAGGTACATTGTACTCTAAAATAAAGTTTCAATAAGACAAGAAACTAAATTTGATTTCTTAAACGACAAACATTTTCTATTATTAAATATATCTTTATTTTTTTCTCAAAAGATATTTATGAATGAAATATTCCAACAGTGTTTTATTGTTATGCAAAAAGCAAGTCAAAATTTATAACATATTTGTAAATTATAACAAGAAAGACAAGTATGATATCAATACATTATCAAGCAAAGTAAAATCATTGGACATTTGTTAAAGATAATAATGTTTTATTGCGACGCACTTTTGGGTAATTCTAACATGTGAATAATAAAGCTAAACAAGATCATTTCTTTTCTTTTTTTAAAATTACATTTGTCACTAATCTATGCTTTATAATATTCACGACTTTGTTTCCTTCCTTTCATTAGAAAAGAAATGGTTATAAGAGAAGAGATACCTTAAAGTAATAACAATAAGATGAGAGTTGTTATTTTTATCACACTAATTAGGATTTATCTTATAAACTAGATATAAACAATTAACATCCCATTGCCAAAACAAATTGATAAATTTTATTTGTGGAAACAGTCAGGGGAGGTAATCAGAATCACTAGAATTGACTACAGTAAGAGTTGTTTACCTTTCTTAGGTAGCTGATCAGCAATTAGGCTTTTCACTCTTCTTATCATCATTGTCTTCCTTATCTCAGCAAGTTTATTCTTCTCTGAAAATGTTATGTCATGCCAATATAATGATTGTAAAAATCGTTTTTAACCAATCACAAAAGTGACAAAATACATCATATGTTTTACAATACTTTATGTCTTAGAAAATGATCCTTGACACAATATTATTATGTATTGTAGAAAAAAATCTGGAGAAGGGGATAACCCTCAGAAGCAATTAAAACCACACAGTAACATAAAATTACAGTATCTGATTGACTGTGTCTGTTCATGAGGGTAAATGTATAAATAGAGACAACATCCCTCACAACCCCTAGCACTGGTTTAAGCAGTATTCAATCTTCAACACTATAATCATGTGAAGGAACTTGTGTATACATTTAAAACTGGTATGCAAGTGGTTTGTACAAATAACTACAAATTATTTCAATTTAGCTCGCATGCTTTTGCCTTATAAAACTTATGACGGATAGTAGGTTTGTAATCCATTTGGGCCAAAACCATGTTCCCGCATATGGAATCATTACTGTTTAGTAAAAATGGGTCAAAGACAGAAAAGGCCGGGTTTCATAATTATGTATACAAAGTATTCATGAGGCTGTGATGTTACTTAAATTTTCTACCACTGAACATTGATGTTGAAAATTTAACTAAGTCGATAAACCAGAAGTGGATGAGCATCAGACCTGAAATGGAATCCCACAATATCGGACCACATGTCAATGTTGTGAACCACATATCAAGAGGCTGTTGTAAGTAGTTGCTGAGAAAACTGTTACGAAAATGTCCTACTATTGATCATTAATTATGTCAAAATTTAACTTAAGTCGGCAAACAGGAAGTGGATGAGCTACAGACCTGAAATCAAATCCCACAGTATGGGACCATGTGTTAATGCTGTATACTAAATATCAAAAGGCTGTGATAAGTAGTTGCTGAGAAAACTGTTACGAAAATTTCCTACCATTGACCATTAATGTAGAAAATTTAACTAAGTCAGCAAACAGAAAGTGGATGAGCGACAGACCTGAAATCGAATCCCATGGTATGGGACCACATGTTAATGCTGTATGCCAAATATCAAGAAGCTGTGATAAGTAGTTGCTGAAAAAACTGTTACGAGAATTTCCTCCTATTGATCATTAATGTTGAAAATTTAACTAAATCAGCAAACAGGAAGTGGATGAGCATCAGACCTGAAATCAAATCCCACAGTATAGGACCATGTGTTAATGCTGTATACCAAATATCAAAAGGCTGTGATAAGTAGTTGCTGAGAAAACTGTTACGAAAATTTCCTACCATTGACCATTAATGTAGAAAATTTAACTAAATCAGCAAACAGGAAGTGGATGAGCGACAGACCTGAAATCGAATCCCATGGTATGGGACCACATGTTAATGCTGTATGCCAAATATCAAGAAGCTGTGATAAGTAGTTGCTGAGAAAACTATTACAAAAGTTTTTCCCGCCCGCCACCCACCCAACCGCCACCCACCCAACATTAACCATACTGTAACCAGGGTTTGCACCTGTGCAACCCAGCCAAAAATAAATGGTTACACTAAGCTTATTACATTTTATTAGTATCTAGCTAAGACAAATATACTGAAGGTATAGAACACACAGAGAGGTACTTTAAGTCATCTTTTAGTAAAATTAGACTGATGCCATATGACATTAAATATTTCAGTGTAATTTGAGCCGCGTCATGACAAAACCAACATAATGGGTTTGCGACCAGCATGGATCCATGCTGTTCGCTTACAAACCCTATAACAAGTAGAGAAACTGATTGCAAACAGCATGGATCCAGCGGATGTGCAGGCTGTTCTGGATCCATGCTGGTCGCAAACCCATTATGTTGGTTTTGTCGTGACGCGGCTCATTTTATACCAAACACCACTCCCATTTACAAATTATTAAACAAAAATACAACATTTTGCAGCATATCTTGTGCGTGTATGTAATGAGATTGGTAAGTAAAATGACATACGTTTTCTTGCTGTTGCCAACTCTCTTTTGTTAGCATCATGTCTCTGACCACTTTCTATAGGTCGTACAAACTCGTGAACGAAATCAGCTTGTGAACCTAAACAATCTGGTTGTGCCCTGGAGAATATAGAATGCAGTACTGTATATACACAGCGATAATCATTTGCAGTTTGTTTACTGTTCACTACGATATTTCAACTATATAGAACCAAGTTTAGTATATTCATGATGATAAAAAGAACCAGCTTGTTTAATAAACAATACTTCAGTTCATATCAACATTACTAACAAGTCCTACCTTAACTACAGAATCAACACCAGTAAATAAATACTCAGTTTTTGTCTAAAAAACAAAACACCCTTGAACTTTCAAATTTCTGTAACAAGTTAATCAATACTTAAATAAGAAAAACAAAAAGAATTTAAATTTTTCACTACATTGTCTATATCATAACGTAACAAAAATCCAATCACTGATGTTTAGGTAATGAAGTTTAAAAACAAAACAATGAGAATTACATATGATTATATGAACTTACCAGTCTAATATACTCCAAAACTCCAACAAAGTATTCTGTAATGCTGTACCAGTCAAACCAAATCTTCTACTTGTATTGATCTCTCTTAAAGCCTTTGTCGTTTTTGCTTTCATTTCCTGTAACCATTCATAACAAAAACTGGTTATTCTAACATTTAGGTCATTCTTACAGCAATGTTAATGCCAGCAATAAATAGCCAGGCCAGTCAGCAGTAGTGTTCAACAGTCTGTTTCTAGAATAATATTCGTTGACACTAGTCCCTCATATAAGCGTGTTTTGACGGCTTTTTGTCCCCAAGTGAGGCCTCAGTGAAAAAATGCCCTATTTAGGCCCCAAACACTGTTTTACGTTTGAGAAATGTTGTTTAAAAAAGTGACCCCTTTTTTAGGCACAGCCCCCCATCAAAATGATACATCAGGGCGTTGTCAGAAGGGGGATGTGCCCCCTTCTGTTTGGGGGGTTTGAGGAGGACATGTGACAGGCTTTAAAATGGCCTCAGGTCGATTTTAAGGTGATGTGTAACCAACACTGAAAAGCCCTTTACTCTATCTCATTGCATTGAGAAGTTGCAGCACTTTGAAATCAGTTTTGATGGAAAAAACACTGCAAAATAGTGATTTTTCGCAATTTTGAGACGTCCCCCCATTGGCATGGTAACAGGAAATTTAAGATTGATCATGTTGTTACAGAGGTTATGGTTCAGTCCACATATGTGGCAAGTTTGATCAGTATTGAAGCATTTTTCATAGTTTTATAACAGATGGAACTTGTAACGGGAGGCTTTTCAATGAAAAAGGCCATTTTTCGCAATACAGTCTGACCCCGGTTATGCGACAACCCATTATTCGAATACCCGGCATTATCCGAAGTAGATCGGCGGTCCCGTTTTTATTTCTATATAAATCAATATAAATACGAGCGTATTATTCGAAATGCATTATCCGAATACCTCCTATTTTTCGAAGTAAAATTTTGGTCCTGATTATACAATTATGAAAGAATTTCACACCTATTATTCGAAGCAAGCCTAATTATCATTCGAAGCCAGACTAATTGGCGCAGATCCACTCGCTGACCGGTCGACTTGTGAAAATATCAACAGTTATGCGTGTATTTAGACAATCATGATAATAACTCTTTGTGTGTTCTTTAATCAGCTTAATTACCGAAAATGAAAAGCAATTCAACGTGTTCGATTTTGTTACTGTTATTGCGTGAAGATGACAGCAATAATTTACATACAAACCGCATATGTAAATTTGTCAAAACATCGAAAACATTTTTTTCATTAATTGTAACGCTACATGAGTCTCTATCCTAATCGAAAATACCAGAGTTTAGCTGTAAATACCGTAGTGACAACACGGCCATTATCAAGGCTTTGCGCGAAACGAAACGATACATAACGTAGAATAAAATGCAAGTATTTATGTCTTTAATGTCAATACAACTATTTTCACGTATCTTTTCTTTAATATATTTTTCTCAATTGATTACAGGAAGTAAGTGTGTTGTAAAAGGTAGTTTTGCTATGATTAGTCTTAGTGGAGTAGTGTTCGTCTTTCACAATACATATTCCGATTTCGATTATTCGAACCCATCGATTATTCGAAGTAAATATTCAGTCCCAGGCACTTCGAATAAACGGGGTTGGACTGTATGCTCATGGGGTAAAAGGTTAATATGATAAAAAGTTATGTTGTGAATTGGTTTAATTAAAACAAGGAAACACAGCATTTATCAACTTGTTAAACTATATCACATGACATGTAAAAGAAAAAAAAGGTAACATTTTAGTTTTAAAGTTATCTATTTCCCATTGATTGGGACAAGAGCCCCTGAAATATCTTAACCACTCAAAAACTTTCCAGAAAAATAAAGTCATTCACATGGCTGTTACACAGTAGGGCTCAAACCCTTTAGCTCAGATATAAAACACAGAGACTTTGACTTAAATGACAAATCTCCATAGTAAAGACAGAATATCTTTAATTCTTACGAAATATTTTATAATTACCTTGATCTTATGAACTTCATCAACAATAACAGCATCCCACTTTATTGCATTTAAATCAGCCTGGAAATAAAAACAATAAATAATTCAAACATTTTTCTCTTCTTCCATAACTGATTAAAGAGCAGGGCAGTACCACCAGGGATGTCACAGCAACTTCAAAAAGTAGCAAACTACTTTGAAATGAATAATCAATAACCTTTACAATCAATGGAAATTTACGTGAATATCCTTCCAAATTAATCAGTAACATTCATTTCATAAAAAGAAAATTGGCATTTTTTTATTTAGTTCAGGCAATTTTTATATTTTATCCTAAACATTTGACATTATCAATTGCTGGTCAATTACTATTATAAAAGTCATTCTTTTGAAATATATAGCTTATTAAACTCCACTTAAACAGCGAATAAAATTAAGCATAATGTAACTTTAATTGAGTTTTAACAGCCACAAACAGTTAAACAATTACCATATGCTCTCTGAATGTCTCAAATGTTGTAACCACTATCTCTAACTTTCCTTTCTTTATTTCCTTTAAACACTCTGACTTGTCTGATCCATGGTACTTCCTGAAAATCAAAGCTTAATGGCATAATAATTATCTGAATAGGTCCTTAATGGGAAGTCTGTAATAACCATAAATAATCATGTTGATAGTCATTATTATCACATGTTTTTCGGTGGTTTATAGAAATATATCAGTGAAATATAAAACTGATATTTCACTGTTTGAAACAGTGAAAATATAAATTTGATATTTTTCACTGTTTTGAATTTAAGCCCGTTGTTTAAGTGAAATACCAGCATGCACAGTACTGGAAACCAACTTTATGACGTGACGTCATGAATGACATTGCGTTGTATTAATTTTTGGCCCTCTTTTCATTTAGTATTGGGTTAAAATATCTTTTTAAACGTTTCTTTGCATATCATTATAAAAAGAAAATTTGTTTAGTTTAGTGTAAGATCGAAATATATGTCACCTCGTGAACACCAAAAGTTTAAATTTCTCTCATGGCTGTGCCACTCGCGAAATAAACATTTTGGTGCTCACTCGGTGAAATATATTCCCATCTAACATTGAAATAAACAAAAATCCTCTATTTATCATACGTGACAATGAATGATGACAGATTTATATATGGCTCTTGTTGGAAATTCAGAGATTCATAATAAAATATCACATATCTTCAAACAGAAAGATAATAAATTGTTTTAAAGCAAAATATTATTCTTCATCATATTAATGTTCATATCTAATCATTTATAACTCCAATCAACATTTTTTTCCATAAATATTTCATAAGAATATCCAAATGATATATTTCTATTATTTTCATCATATTGAAATAATTATAGAAAATTTGCCCAAAGCAGACAAATCTGCTTTGAATTAGGACATATACATGCATATCATTGTTTGCTAAAGAGAGATTACACTTTTAATAAATATGAATTAATAAATTAAACTGCATCATGTCAAAAACAAGTAAAATCTAAGTACAATGTATATCCATTTCTCACCTTAGAGATTTTGTTGTATTAGATAAAGTTTTAAATCACTTTTTGGTTCTTACATTATAATGACTAACGCCCGATATTCTACGAGAAGTATGCAGGTGACAGATGGAAGTTTGAGCTGGTATTGGGAGGAGAGGTGGGGAGGGGTGTGGGGGCGAGGATCATTTACCTGACAGAGAAGTATCCCCATGTCTCCAGCTCCTCTAACCAGTTATACAGTACACATCCTGGACCAATAATGAGGAATGGACCTTTACTAGGAGTATCTCTTCTCACACTAGCTGAGTCAGATAACTGTAAAATACAAACTTTCATTATAATCATAAGAGAAATTGTGAGGTTTTTCAACAAACATATCTTCATGGAAACATGTGCCATACCTTGGACCCCAACTAGAGAATCTGAGAATCATATTAAACATAAATTGAGATTGTTTGGGAAATAGTTGATGTAATCCCAGGAACATTACTTGTAATGGTCCTATATTCAGAACGTTTAATCAGTTATGTATTCTTAAGTTATCATTTTGTGTTAATATTAACTGATCTCATTCTGTTGATGTACAGTATATATTTTTTGTAAAGTTTCATCAAAATCTGCCAAAAACTAACAATGAAAAACAAACAGAATAATGAGCCTTAATTTCTTTTCTCAAACAACACTTATTAGTTACTTGCAGAAACTTAATAGTTAGTTTTTAATATCTTTAATTTGTTCAATATGACTTTTTCAATGGCTATCATGAACATAATTTACCGTTTTTTCACTATTCAATCAATTATTGAACAAAGGTGATGGTATGATGTAGTTAAATAAAAACACTGAAAATGGACAAATTGTAATTAAATATCACACATCGAAAGTAAGAATCATTATTCTCTACAAACTAGATGACACAAACCTTTCTAATAAACCTGGGTTTCTGTCTCATCACATCTACTCTGTTACCCTGCTTGTCTAACAATGCTGATAAAAATCCTATCACCTTTAACAGAAATAAGCAGAAATAAGGTCAAACAAACCTGACTTATATATAAAATAACATAATACAAGTAAAACAAGATATGTTTGTAAAACATGTATGCCCCCTATCAGCAGCCAATTAGTCATGTGATAAGGTTATTAATGCATGACGTCTGACCCAGTGATCAAACAATTAATAAGGGTTATAAAGTATCTACTGGTCATGACCTTGACCTTTGACCCTTGACCCAAAACTCAATAGGGGTCATCTGCTGGTCACGACCAATCATCATACAAAGTTTGAAGTTCCTAGGCCTAGGCGTTTTTAGTAAATTGATCAGAAACCGTTTTTACCTACAAGGTCAATGTGACCTTGACCTTTGACCCCTTGACCCCAAAATCAATAGGGGTCATCTGCTGGTAATGACCAATCACCATGCCAAGTTTGAAGTTCTTAGGCCTAAGGGTTCTCTTATTATTGATCGGAAACCGTTTTTAACATACAAGGTCAATGTGACCTTGACCTTTGACCCCAAAATCAATAGGGGTCATCTGCTGGTCATGACCAATCACCATGCCAAGTTTTGAAGTTTCTTAGGCCGAAGCGTTCTTAAGTTATTGATCAGAAACCGTTTTTACTTACAAGGTCATTGTGACCTTGACCTTTGACCCCTTGATCCCAAAATCAATAGGAGTAATCTGCTGGTCATGACAAATCACCATACCAAGTTTGAAGTTCCTAGGCCTAAGCGTTCTTGAGTTATTGATCAGAAACCGTTTTTACTTAAAAGGTCAATGTGACCTTGACCTTTGACCCCAAAATCAATAGGGGTCATCTGCTGGTCATGACCAATCACCATGCCAAGTTTGAAGTTTCTAGGCCGAAGCGTTCTTTATTTATTGATCAGAAACCGTTTTTACTTACAAGGTCATTGTGACCTTGACCTTTGACCCTTGATCCCAAAATCAATAGGAGTAATCTGCTGGTCATGACAAATCACCATACCAAGTTTGAAAAGTTCCTAGGCCTAAGCGTTCTTGAGTTATTGATCAGAAACCGTTTTTACTTAAAAGGTCAATGTGACCTTGACCTTTGACCCCTTCACCTAAAACTCAATAGGGGTCATCTGCTGGTCATGACCAATCATCACACAAAGTTTGAAGTTCCTAGGCCTAAGCGTTTTTAGTTCATTGATCGGAAACCGTCTTTACCTATAAGGTCAATGTGACCTTGACCTTTGACCCCTTGACCCCAAAATCAATAGGTCATCTGCTGGTCATGACCAATCACCATACCAAGTTTTGAAGTTCCTAGGCATAAGGGTTCTTAAGTTATTGATCCGAAAGCATTTTTACCTACAAGGTCAATGTGACCTTGACCTTTGACCCCTAGACCCCAAAATCAATAGGGGTCATCTACTGATCATGACCAATCACCATCTCAAGTTTGAAGTCCCTAGGCCTAAGGGTTCTTTCATTATTGATCGGAAACCGTTTTTTACCTACAAGGTCAATGTGACCTTGACCTTTGACCCCTTAACGCCAAAATCAATAGGGGTCATCTGATTGGTCATAACCAATCACCATACCAAGTTTGAAGTTCCTAGGCCTAAGGGTTCTTTTGTTATTGATCAGAAACCGTTTTTAATTAAAAGGTCACAATGTGACCTTGACCTTTGACCCCTTGACCCCAAAATCTATATGGGTCATCTACTGATCATGACCAATCACCATACCAAGTTTGAAGTTCCTAGGCCTTAAGGTTCTTTAGTTATTGATCGGAAACCGTTTTTACCTACAAGGTCAATGTGACCTTGACCTTTGACCCCTTGACCCCAAAATCAATAGGGGTCATCTACTGATCATGACCAATCACCATACCAAGTTTAATGTTCCTAAGCCTTAAGGTTCTTTAGGTATTGATCGGAAACCGTTTTTACCTACAAGGTCAATGTGACCTTGACCTTTGACCCCTTGACCCCAAAATCAATAGGGGTCATCTACTGATCATGACCAATCACCATACCAAGTTTGAAGTTCCTAGGCCTTAAGGTTCTTTAGTTATTGATCGGAAACCGTTTTTGCTTTTAAGGTCAATGTGACCTTGACCTTTGACCCCTTGACCCCAAAATCAATAGGGGTCATCTACTGGTCATGACCAATCACCATAGCAAGTTTGAAGTTCCTAGGCCTTAAGGTTCTTTAGTTATTGATCGGAAACCGTTTTTTGCTTTCAAGGTCAATGTGACCTTGACCTTCGACCCCTTGACCCCAAAATCAATAGGGGTCATCTACTGGTCATGACCAATCACCATACCAAGTTTGAAGTTCCTAGGCCTAAGGGTTCTTTAGTTATCACTCGGAAACCATTTGGTCTACGGACCGACGGACCGACAAGTGCAAAGCAATATACCCCCTTTTTTTCAAAATGGGGGCATAATAATACAAATATGAACAAATGCAAACAGCTATCTTATTTTTTTCAATTAATCATGCAAACTGCTTCCCTTTCTTTTGAACAAATCCATTTGTTTAATGTAACATGATTCATACCTGTTGCTGATTCTAATTGGGTCTTTAGACAAAAATCTGAAAACAAAGTGATCCCTTGGAAGCATTAATCACAACAAAATTACAAGAGAATTGCAGACTCGGTTTGATTGAGTCTGTACATGAGGGATAATGAATATGTGCAACATCCCCCACGCCCCTAGCACCGACTTGAGCGGTACTAAATTCTCAACACTTAATAGTGCTAGCATCAATGATCCCAAAGGACCAGAAAAATATAACAACACTGAAGTGAAGTACGGGGCAACTTTTTACAGATGCCACACAACCCTTGTTCGTATGTCATCTTCTTTATTATCAAAAGCTCACTTTTTTTACTAATAAGGAAAAGAAGAATGGAATTTAACTAATCAAACTGACCTGCACTGTTTTACCAAGTCCCATATCATCTCCAAGAATTGCCCCTCTATTCTCCATATAATGACTGTACAGAAATTTGATTCCCTCCCTTTGATAATCTCTCAGATATTGATTCAATGTCCCAGGTACCTGTTAGTGTAAAAATAAAAAATAAAACCTCTATCACATACTGCCAATCACATATAAAGACAAAGTTACTTACTTACATTTTCATTTTTGCACCGATAATACTAAAGCTAAATAAAATGAAAAAAATAAAATGTTTACAAACTAATATGTTATGACAACTTTTGATGTCTCTATGGCATTGACAAGTTTGCAATAATTTGTATCATTTGCTCATTTCGTTTTTTCCATGTAAGATTTCTAAATTTTATACTTTTAGGGTTTTGATGGTGTTCATTTAACAGTTTATAATTTACTTATTACAGCAAGCTTTATTTCCATTTTCTAGACTAACCAGTGCTTGTGCCACTATAATGTCCATATATAATCGAGTTATACTACAAGTTAAACCATCATATGAAGAAACATGGTACTGACCACTATAGGGCTTGAACCTTACATTGAGAGGGTAACACCATAAATTACCTGGCAACACCTTGTTAAAAATACAACTTTAAAACAACAAAATTTACCTGGACAATGTTATCTTCATCATCACCCGAGAGTATAAGAGGAACTTTAACTCCATCTGGTTTAAATATAAACCTTGGTTTCTCCATATCTTCTTCATTAAATCCTGTTAGAGAAACAAGCACATACATAACAGTTAATCTCACCCTCATTAACAAATGAGCCGCGTCACAACAATACCAACATAGTGCGTTTGCGACCAGCATGGATCCAGACCAGGCTGCGCATCTGCGCAGTCTGATCAGGATCCATGCTGTTCGCTATCAGTTTCTCTACTTGTAATAGGGTTGGTAAGCGAACAGCATGGATCCTGATCAGACTGCGCGGATGCGCAGGCTGGTCTGGATCCATGCTGGTCACAAACCCATTATGTTGCTTTTGTAGTGACGCAGCTCAAATAAGTGAAGATATCTCAAACTACGATGACTTATTTCTGTTACTTACAAACCACTAAAACCGCTCTCATTACGTAAATGTAAACACAATAGTAATTCAAGAATTCACAAAATCTCTAACCATACTAAGGACATTGAATACTATTTAGTCATCACATGTGAAGAACAAAAAATAAGTTCTCCAGTATTCAATTTATATGTTTGTTGTTCAACTGTTGGCCATCAACTTACGTCAATGTAAAACTGAATTTTTAAAAAATATACAACAGAAATGCTCAAGTTCAAGTTTATCCCCTACGAATTTGTGCAATGAACTTATCCTTTTTTGTGTTTGGCACTTTCAATTTTGTAGTTTTATAAATTTTAATATTAAAATACTAAAATACTTTATCGTTGAAAAGATAACCATGACACATAGCAGTATAGAGTATGGTAAAACTATATGAATGTGCATGCTAACCTTGCTCTATACTGGTTAACTAAGTCTGTAATTACCCATACTAGCATTTAAAGCTGCAGGTCTCCACATGAACCAAAATATTTCATGAAAATCAAACTTGAGAAAAAAGTACTAAGACTTTAAGAAAAGTAAAAATATTCAAGTTGAAAATAATAATTTCTATGTTTTGCGCCATTTATGATTGATTTTGTAGTATTTTTCACCAGAGTTCTACTGCGCTAATGCAGTAACAACTATTTTTGCATATTTTAAACTCCATTGGTAATTTGCATGGGTTGTAAAAGTTGTTTTGCAATGTGGAAATTATTTTCTTTGTTCACTTCATAATATTTTACTTTTGAATATATTTTCAAAATTTTCATGAAAATCAGCATGAATCTGGAGGCGTGCTGCTTTAAGGATATTAAAGAAAACAAACACATTGTATTTACCACAGTTCTCATCATCTGAGGACGACATTGCACGCTCACTGTGCTTGTCAGATCTTTTGTTGACTTCCTTTGATTTCATGTAATTTATGTCTTTATCAAACTTAGGCTGACTTTCATCATCTGATGAAGACATTGTGTGTTCCGAGTGTCTCATCAACGCTTTCTTTACTTTACGAGAGTCCACGATGGACGATATATCTGACAGGATCTTACTAGTTATCCTACAATACAGGTGATGCGAAATCTTACATGCATGGAATTTTTGCTGGAAATCATTTAAAAGGGGTAATTGGATAATATAAAATCTAGGTTTTCAGGTTAGATTAGGACCAATTTTTAGATGAATGGTCAGAGAAATTGGTTTTTTAACTGTCACTTGATTACATTTGATATCCTAGGATCAACATTGTTAGATCTACAATGCTCAGGTATACACACACTATTTCTTGAGATCATTACAATTATATCATATTTTAACCTCCTGAATGTCCTAAATGAAATTGTACAACTAACATCTTGGAACAGTTCATTATAAATAACAAAGAAATCACAGTGAAAGTTTAGTGTCTGACCAGCCAACAGTATGTTTCGCATTGTTTACTGAATACATCTTTATGTATAAATTACAATTTCAGTGACAATTACTAATTAAATATATTCTTCTAAGAATAGAATGAGTGATACTGATTTTAGGGCCAGATTTTCCAAATGCTTCCAGGAATCAGTTGACATGTGCTTTTTAACAGAATTATAATTACAATGTGAATAACTTAGAATAATTGTTGCTGTTAAAACATGATATCTTTACATAAATATTCCTATTTATCATTTGATTTAAATTTGATTGATAAAATTAAGAATGAAATCTTAGCTTAAAAAAAAAATCTATTTCTGCTTACAATTCATCGTCTGAATTCTTTGCCTGTCCACCTGTGATGTTCAGCTGCTGTTTTCGAGAACGGCCAACATTTGGGGAATCTGGCTCAACAAATTGACTTTTGTCTGTAAGCTTCTTATTTTTGCTATTCACTATTAAAACAAGAGGGCCATGATGGCCCTGAGGTCGCTCACCTGTATATAGGCCCCCGGAGGGGGCCCAGTTTAAACCCCAGGGCTTTTATTTGAACAAACTTGGAAGACACTCATTAGAAGATGTTTCACAATGTTAAGTTTTTACTACACACATGTAATGAAAAACAACGATCTCACCTGCCCCTCCTCCCCCCCGGCAGGGCCAATTTTCACCCAAGGGCTTTTATTTGAACAAACTTGATAGATATCCATAAGAAGATATTTCATGCTAAACATCTAAGCTCTAGCTCATTGGGTTTTTTTAAAAGAAGATTTTTAAGTTTTTACAACACACATATAGTTAAAAACAATGACACCCCTGGGGCGGGGCCAGTTTTGACCCCAGGGCTTTTATTTGAACAAACTTTGTAGACATTTACTAGAAGATGTTTCATGCTTAATATCTAAACTCTAGCAATTTGGTTTTTTTTAAAGAAGATTTTTTAAGTTTTTACTATATGCATATAGGGAAATCAATGACCCCTGGGGCGGGGCCAGTTTTGACCCCAGGGCTATTATTTAAACAAACTTTGTAGACACTCACTAGAAGATGTTTCATGCTTAATATCTTAACTCTAGCTATTTGAGTTTTTTCAAAGAAGATTATTTAAGTTTTTGCTATACACATATAAGGAAAATCAATGACCCCCGGGGCGGGGCCAATTTTGACCCAAGGGCTTTTATTTGAACAAACTTGGTAGACACTCATTAGAAGATGTTTCATGCTGAATATCTTAGCTCTAGCTCTTTGAGTTCTTTCAAAGAAGATTTTGTAAGTTTTTACTATATGCATATAGGGAAAATCAATGACTCCCTGGGGCGGGGCCAATTTTGACCCCAGGGCTTTTATTTGAACAAACTTGGTACACACTCATTAGAAGATGTTTCATGCTGAATATCTTAGCTCTAGCTCTTTGGGTTCTTTAAAAGAAGAATTTTTAAGTTTTTACTATATGCATATAGGGAAAATATACCCCCTGGGGCGGGGCCAATTTTGACCCCAGGGATTTTATTTGAACAAACTTGGTAGACACTCACTAGAAGATGTTTCATGCCAAATATCTAATCTCTAGCTCTTAGGGTTTTTAAAAGAAGATATTTAAAGTTTTTTCTTTCGGTTGCCATGGCAACCAGAGTTCTGCATGGAATTAAATTCTTTGAACAATTTTTAAAGGTGACCACCAAAGGAACATTCCTGTGAAGTTTGGATGAAATTGGCTTAGTGGTTTATGAGGAGATGTCATTTAAAGTAAAAGTTTACGGACGGAGGGACGCCGGATGGACGCCGGACGAAAAGCGATCACAAAAGCTCACCCTGTCACTTTGTAACAGGTGAGCTAAAAACAACACAATTTGAGAATTGTATATATCATGTTATTAAATATCAGAGATAATGACAATCATTTTATCCCTATCATTTTTGTCAACAGTTTAAATTATCATCACAATTATCAGTTAAAAATAAAGCTTAATAATAAATCATTTAACAAATCAGTATCTTATACATTTTTTGTAACCTACAATGTATATATTCCCTTAAAATGAAATTTATGCCATTTCAAATCAGTTTTTCTATCTATATTTTTGTGCCCATGTGCCTAGGTGAAATAATGCACAGGTATCTACAATATAATTTTCCTAATCAATAAAATTTCCTGTGTGACCTACATGTAGCTACAAGTCTACAATAGTGATAAGCTACAAATGTGTGCATAGAACATGGATGCCCCTACATTCCACTGTTTTACAAATCTATAGACAGCAAGATGGATGGATAAGGGCAAATCTATATTACCCCTCCTTCCCTACTTTCCACCAATTTGTAATTTTGTAAATCTACAGATAGCGGGACAGCAAGATGGATGGATAAGTGTAAATCTATATTTCCCCTCCATCCAGTATTAAGGGCATAAAAATGTATAACTCAGCAAACCTTTTAACTGTTCTCCACCAGTCACAACAACTGGTTTCCTTGACTTGTTCCCTGATCCTGATGTGGAACAAGAGCTGGAACCAGGGGACTTCTTCCCGAACAAAACAGATGACAGCTTTTGACTTTTTACAGAAATTTCATCCTCCGCATCCCTGTCATATTTCTCTTTCAGTCTTTGACTAACTTCACTCCCCTCTAATGGACTGAACATTCCTCCCTGAGTAAAGGCCCGAGAGTTTTCTTTCTTTCTGCCACATGCTTTTTCTGTGAACAAAGTTACACAAGTACTATAAAAAACCAATGTGACTGGTCGGAAATTAAGCGAACTCTGATATATTCGATTATCGTTCTTACATTAAAGAACTTAGAAGAACCAGGGTTACACCAATATCATGTATAATTTCATACAGATCATTGATATTTATTGTTTCAATCCTAATCCTAAATAGAAAAGTGAAAAACCTTTATATATGATTCACTCATTACTTAACTGCTAAACATTTGTAAATCATTTAATATTTACCTTTAACTTTTGTACTAGTCTTGACCTTTTCAAGTAATTCAACTTTGACCTCTTCTATATCATCTTCACCATATCCGTCAAACTTCACTAACGCCAGCACATCACCTCCTGGTGACCTTTTAAACTTCCTAATGACCCCTCTGTAAAGGTCATTGTCACCAGAATATGGGGACAGACAAGGGTCTCCTTTACTCCAAACTACAGTGTAATGAAATCAAAAGTAAAATTTCAAAACATGGTAACCGTAAAGTATATAAATGAAAACAAGAGGGCCATGATGGCCCTGAGGTCGCTCACCTGTATATAGGCCCACAGAGCGGTGCCAGTTTAAACCCCAGGGCTTTTATTTTGAACAAACTTGGAAGACACCCATTAGAAGATGTTTCATGCTAAATATCTTAGCTCTAGCTCTATGGGTTCTTTAAAAGAAGATTTTTTAAGTTTTTACTATATGCGTATAGGGAAAATCAATGACCCCCTGGGGCGGGGCCAATTTTGACCCCAGGGCTTTTATTTGAACAAACTTGGTAGACACTTATTAGAAGATGTTTCATGCTAAATATCTTAGCTATAGCTCTATGGGTTCTTTAAAAGAAGATTTTTTAAGTTTTTACTATATGCATATAGGGAAAATCATAACCCCCTGGGGCGGGGCCAATTTTGACCCCAGGGTTTTTATTTGAACAAACTTGGTAGACACTCACTAGAAGATGTTTTATGCCAAATATCTAAGCTCTAGCTCTTTGGGTTTATTAAAAGAAGATATTTAAAGTTTTTTCTTTCAGTTGCCATGGCAACCAGAGTTCTGCATGGATTTAAGTTCTTTGAACAATTTTTACAGGTGACCACCAAAGGAACATTCCTGTGAAGTTTGGATAAAATTGGCTTAGTGGTTTATGAGGAGATGTCATTTAAAGTAAAAGTTTACGGACTGACGGACGGACGCCGGACGAAAAGGCTAAGCGATCACAAAAGCTCACCCTGTCACTTTGTGACAGGTGAGCTAATAAAAACAACAGATTTGACTCCAGCAATAAAAAACAACTTCATTATCTGCTTTTCTAAAATATTTTAAAAAATTTAAAACTAGATCTATCTTGAAATATGTTCACAAATTATACAATCAATTTTTATACCTAATACAACATCCTTTTTATTGTCAATCAATACTTGTAAATATTTAAAAGTTTTATCTATATTTACAGAATGGCTGAAATATTTTTGAAAAGGTTTCTTAAATTTGCAGCAAAAGGTTGTCAAACTGTTTTTAATAGAAATGTGTTTTTTTGTACTTGCCTACCGTACATCTATATCAAAATTTGCTACAAAAGCATTTAAAATACCTAGAGAGTCTTTTTTATCAGTTGACATCATTTCATCTTCACATCATGTTATTTTGTTCATCTATTATGCTTAAACACATTTTCTCAATTATTCTCCACCAAGCAACCATGACCAGTGTTCAAACTTATTTTACCTATAATACAATATTAATGCAATAAAAACAAGAGCTGTCGGTAGGACAGCACGCTCGACTATTCTAAGTGCTTGATAGTAAAAGAGCCTTTATATTGTTAAATTTTTTAAGTTCACAAAAGGGCTAATTTTTTTTTATAAATTCATGTTATAGGCCTAAGAGAGAGTCTAATTCTACAGTATTGTCTTGACTATTCGGAAGGTAATGTCACAAGGGTGTTTTATTGAGTTTAATAATACTAATTACCTATGAATAAATAAATTTGACAGAAAAGGTACAAAGGCTTGTTATTAAGATGTTTTATCAAGTAAATCACTGCTTTATTATTATGAATGCATAAAATTGTCCCGAAAAAGGCACAAACCCTTCAGTAGTTATTGAGATAACAGCTTACAAGAAAAACTTAACCATGAATTTCTAAGTTGAAAAAGGGGAGAAAAATCAGCCTAAATGCAAGATAGAATTATGGATCTTTGTCAGTGACCTACAATTATGACACTAAATGCATATGTGAAGTTTTTAATAAATATCTTAAATAGTTATTGAGATATGTAAAACTTGCATGTAAACATTAACCAAGAGACTAAGTAGAAAAGGGGATATGAATCAGCCTTAATGCAAGATAGAGTTATGGAACTTGGTCAGTGACATACAATTATGACCCTCCAATTATGACCCTAAGTGCATGTGTAAAGTTTCAAGTAAATATCTTTGAAGACCTTTAATCTTTAACCAAAATTTCTAAGTTTTAAAGGGGCAAATAATTCTGCAAATATTGCAGGCAGAGTTATGCAATTTTGCAAAACTGATTTACATTGTTACTATAAACAAGAGCTGTCCGTAAGACAGCGCGCTCGACTTTTTTATTGCTTGCCAATAAAAAAAGTTTTTGCAGTAAAAGGCAATACAAGAATCTCTGTATTTTTAAAGTGAACTAGTTGTTTGATACCCTTGAATATTACAGCAATGTTTATATGACATAATTTATGGTAAAGTGAACAAGTGGATAGGAATGAATTTTTTTAGATTTTTTAAGTTTTTTAGTGCTTGCCTATAATACAAAACATTGACAGTTAAGGGCCATAATTCAAATAAAATCTTTGACAGAATTACCTTCTCCTGGACATGTTTGGGAATCATGATTGTAAACAAGTATTCCAACTTTCAAATTAATATCTCAAACAGTTCAGTCAAAAAGTGGACTGGTACTAAAAACTTAACCAAGATTCTAAGTCGATAAAAGGCCTTAATTTTTAAAACAAATCCTTGACAGAGTTACCTTCTCTTGCGTACAGATGGGGGTAATGATGTGAAATAGCATTAAAAGTTTCAAAGCAATATCTCAAAGGGTTAAGGCAATAAGTGGATTTTACCCATATTCAATGTATTTTCTAAGTCAAAAGGGGCATAATTCTGTCAAAAACCTTGACAGAGTTATGTCCTCTTGTCTGTTGATGAAGGTCGTGATGGTAAACAAGTATGGTCAGTTTCAAAGCAATACCTCCAATGGTTTTGAAATAAAGTGAGGTGGTACAAAAAACTTAACCAAGCTCAATACACTTTCTAAGTCAAAAAAGGGCCATAATTCTGTCAAAAACCTTGACAGAGTTATGTACTCTTGTCTGTAGATGGAGGTTATGATGGTGAACAAGTATGGTAAGTTTCAAAGCCATACTTGTAATACTTCTGAAATAAAGTGGGGTGGTACGAAAAACTTAACCAAGGTGTGACGCCAACGCCGACGCCAACGCCGACGCCGACGCCGGGGCGAGTAGGATAGCTCCCCTTTTCATAGAAAAGTCGAGCTAAAAAAGTATTTTAAATTTCAATTGAATATCTCAAGCAATAATTGAGATATTTGACTTTACAAAAAAACTTTAACCAAAAATTTCTAAGTTCCAAAGGGGCATAATTCTGTTAATATTGTAGGCAGAGTTATCCAACTTGTCAATCTGATGCACCTTGTTACTATAAATAAGTATTGTAAGTTTCAATTGAATATCTCAAGCAATAATTGAGATATTTGACTACAAAAAACTTTAACCAAAATTTCTAAGTTAAAAAGGGGCATAATTCTGTCAATATTGTAGGCAGAGTTATCCAACTTGTCAATCTGATGTACCTTGTTACTATAAATAAGTATTGTAAGTTTCAATTGAATATCTCAAGCATTGATTGAGATATTTGACTTTACAAAAAACTTTAACCAAAATTTCTAAGTTAAAAAGGGGCATAATTCTGTCAATATTGTAGGCAGAGTTATCCAACTTGTCAATCTGATGTGCCTTGTTACTATAAATAAGTATTGTAAGTTTCAATTGAATATCTCAAGTAATAATTGAAATATTTGACTTTACAAAAAACTTTAACCAACGCAGACGCCGACGCGGACGCTGACGCCGACGCCGGGGCGACTACAATAGCTCTCATATTCTTCGAATAGTCGAGCTAAAAACAGCAAATTACTTTATTACCATGACACATAGACAACCCTAGCACTGGTTATTGGTTAATTTGATTGTTTAAAAAAAAAATCCAACAATCATCACATGGTCACCTACATATATGTAGTATGAAGTAACATACATTTAACTACTTTTTTTTGAGCTGGGTCAAAGATGTTCAGTCATGTTACCATGACCGTAGATATGTAGTCATGATAGCACATTATGAATTATTAAGAAAAAAAACAATGACAATAGAGATGTGTTAATAATACAGAGTTTGATTTTACTTTTTCTTTTTTTCTCAATATAAAAGATTTCAACTGTAGTGTAAATCTTTTATCCTAAGTTTGTTAAGGTAGGTCAGAGTTCTTGGTGACTTATAATTCAGCCGCCTGATACGCATTGTGAGGTCTCAATGCTTTACTGAATTTAAACGATTTGCCCCATAATGACTCACAGTCACCCCACTTAAGTGATGATTCGCCCAAGATAAGTGACAATTCCCCACCCTTCAAAATAGTATGTGTAAATAAACAATTATCACAATTATCACTTATCTATAAACATCAATTTAATCACAAATATTGCTGAAAGGTAAATAAAAAAAATAAACAAATACATGTAAGAGACTGAGTAGATCTAGTAATATTTAATAAATTCTGTTTGTTTTTTGTTTTGTTTTGGGTTTTTTCTTATCCTTTCTTATAATTTCTATTTCCAAATCAAATGTTTACAATAAAAATATATCAAATATCTGCAATAAATACCAAAAAGTAAAAGAAGTGTGTAATATAAAGTGGGCAATAAAAGTTGTATTGTCACTTTTAAGTGCTACTGATATATGCTCAAGCAGCCTGTGGGTCTTTGGGCACACTTTGAGGCATTGCCTCATTCTTATTGATATGTGATTATTAATCTAATTTATTTTACAGTTTCACTCATAAGTGAGCATTGATCTTCTTAATCATATTTCCTTCCTCCAATATACTGGCCACCTTCAACTAACTGAAGTTTACTGCGAGGTTAATTTTTCTTTTAGACAGATTGTTTGTTTGCATTGTTGAAGGATAGTCTGTCACTCTGTTATGTCGGAAAATAGTTAAAATAGCTAACATTATTATGTTGTTTTTTTGTAACTGAGGGCTTATATAAATAAAGATTGTCTTTTTTTTATCATTTTTAGTGGGGCGACTCGATTTGGGGCGAATCTTCAGTGGGGCGAATCGTTATATTACCGCTTCACAAGGTAATCTTATAATAATTTGTACCGTATTATCAAATTAAATATTATCTTTATTATGTCTTACCAATCATGTATCTCAAATTATTAGAAATAATGCATATTTCAATACAAGTTGATCACTTTTTGAGATTCATGGGCAGCGCCATATTTGTTTTGAAATTTAAAGGTTGGACACAACTAAAATAAATTTTAGATAGGTCTATCACCGCTAAGTATTTTAATTGTACTTATCAATGATCATTACAATACATGTACATACCCTGCTTTGATATTGCAAAAATGAAAAGGTTTATAAGTACAATGTGAATATGCAATTACTGTGTCAATTTGAATAAGAAACAAACCTAGTCCAACTACATTGTACTAAGCATTGCTTTCTTGTATTGACAATATTTATCTCCCTTAGCTAGAGCTATATTTGTACATTTATCTTTGTTATGTCAATATATGTTGCTAGTCTAACTAATTGTACTCCGCGACGAGATATTGTGCTATTTTCGTGTCTGGGCAATATCTCGCCTCTACAAATATCTCGTTAAAGCGAGATTCTGCCCAAGAACGAAAATATCTCAGAATCAAGCTTTGGCACGTCAATATATTTTGACTATATATGTTGCATAAAATAACCCAGCACTTGCATTCTATTTATCATTAAGATGATAATCATCATAATTTATGAATAATTACATGTATGATTTCAGTTACATACACACATTACCCTAATTTATTTGGCGTGAACGGTTTGACCCATTTTACAGACTTTTTTTCTTACTGAGAAACGGAAAAAAGACAGCGCCCGTCCAAAATTATCTCGGTGTCTCTTTGACAAGTCTAATTAGTTGGACTAATACACACATGTAATTGTAACATGTTCATATTGAATATCACATTACATTTAAGGTAGAAACAGTCAAGCTTATGTATTTTATTATATAATGTGTGTTATAGATTTTTTTTCCATTCATCAAATAACACTGCGTATTTCTGAAACCCATGTAGGAATTTCGAGCTATTAAAAAGTTAATAAAAGATACTGTTGTGAAAAGTATTTGCTACCAATGTTTGCTATACTGCCTATTAAATATATCAGTTTTATCTCTGTACTTTTATTCTGGTGCCTGTATCCAAATTAAAAAACCTACCTGTTTCAATTGGCATTTGAAAAACGCTATGGTAAAATTTTAAAACCATATTGAGCAAAGGGAGACTAATGCGTCGGGGTTTGCGCAAACTCCTCACAGTGATTACTTCCCTTAGCCTTAGCAGATTGTAAAAATAAGGGGAGAGCACTGCGTACGATTGTTTTCAA